GGATATACTCCTGTATCTTAATAACTGAACACACCTTTTTTCCCCCTTGAATATAGGGGAGAAACGTAGTACAGCACCATAGGAAAAGTGCAGTGTAACAAGTGATCCATCTCAACTAAATATATAATCGAAGCACTTAGCGCCCAGAAACCATATTGAACTATAATCCACAATATTGTGGATATTGAACTAAACTGAAACACCCCCCCAGACCATGCTCCTGTCAGAAATCATACATAAAAAACCCATCTGTGCGTAAAAACCTACGCATAACAATTTGGGTGCTGGGGGCTACTCAGTCCTTGGTAGTTCATGCTTTTGTTTTGTCCTTCTCGGTATCAGCCTTTCATCCAACACGGGAACGGTGTTTAAACTATACAGCTTGCAGGCAGACGGAACGCCACATCACAGGAACAAACGCTTATTGGCGACTGGTCTTACCGTATACCCGAACCCATCCTTGTTGTTGGCACACCGAGTCCACCAAGATCCGGTCGAGCAGCGGATCCACAGACATCATCCCCCCGTGGAGAGACTCCACGTCGTCGGCGATCGAGTCCGTGTCCATCCCAGGGGCACCTCCGTGATACATACCGGCGCCGGGCAGCGAAGCCATCCCCCGGGCAAGTCCAGAAACCTAGCAGAGCTTCTTCCGGCTTGTTTGGGTTCGTTTTCTGGGGCGAAGAAACGGCTACCAATTCAAAACACAACCCCAGCCGCCGCCGCCTTCCCTCCGGTCCAGCACGCCGCTATCTCATCTGTTCCTGCCCCGCTAATCAAGGAATGCACGGAGAGAGTCCATCCTGCGCCGTGCATGTGTCCAAACCCCGTGTCTCCTCTCTCTTCCAACGAGTTTTAACACACCTACCGTACGGTGATGTTCGTGAATTTAATGCCCGACCGCAAGCTCACCGACTCCCAGGCTGCAAGGTGAAGCACACTGAGCCCAGCTGCACTCGGCGAACGGCATAGCACGTTTCGGTGCCACCAAGATCAGGGTGTTTATTTGAAAAAAATAAAACCTTTCGTGATCAGTCAAGTCCCTCTGTTCACACTTTCTTCGGTCTCTACTAGTTTCACCTACTTTTCCCCTTTAAACTCGAGTTGGCTACCTGGCACGGTTCCTCCTTTTGAAAACCTCCTTCCCTTTTCCACTTTTCACAGACACCTCGCACAATTTTCCATCTTTCCCCTCCACGGAAAACTCTACACTGTGACCAGATTGTATGTTCTCTAAAGCCGGCAAGTTTTTGCCTTTCCCCATGCGTTGTGGTCTCGGTCCTTTAACTACATCTGAAAAGAAGATACAATGGGGCAATGGGCGTCTGTCCCTCCGTTACTCTATCCTGAGAGGTTTAAATACTCATTATTTAGCCGCTCTGTCTCTTTGTCCGCTCTGGTTTCCCTGACGGGTCGTCCGGTTAATTGCCTCTCTTTAAACCCACGGCCATGCTGCTCTCCTCCTGCTAAATTCCTCTGGTTCAAACGGGGAGACAAAAAAAAAACCCCGTTCACGTTTTTAAAAATCCCAAGCAGCTTTTCTTCTCAATCACAGCTCCAGCCGGGATCGCAGAGAGACAGGAGGGAGCAGTCGATCTCAGAGCTTCCCGAGCTCCACGAGTTACTAGTACACAGGAAGCACAATCGAGCGAGCGAGATCTGGGATGCAACTCTGCAGCGGGCGACCTTAATTCAAATAATAAAACTAGTCTAAACGTCTCCTGTGATGAGTGTGTTCGCTAACGGTAAATCAATTTGAAACCCTTCTCTGGAAGCTCTGGAAGGTTTTTATGAATCTAGTTAGTTAATTAGCTGGTGTTGCTAATGACACGGTATTCCATTGAATGCATTGTGTTGACCTCAATGGATTCCCAATATAACAAGGAAGAACCAGGTGTGTTTCAAAGGCATTTTTATAGTACTTTGCCGCAGGCTATAGTCTGGATTTAAAGCTGCTTTCCCAGGTTCACCACCATGCCAGAGACTGAAACTGAGATGCAGACACACTGCAGTTATTGATAAACCAATATAGCATATTACTGATATCACATTATTTGGTCTTAGGTGTTAGTACCTAGAAATGTGCCTTAACATACAATACTATAATAGTGAAAGCATTTTATTATAGAATTGATGTAACATGCAATGTGTTGTTTTTATGTCAGGAAGCATAAATTCATAATTTGATTTTAGATGAGGATGATTGGTTTTTGGCTCATGACATTTACAATATTGTTCTGGTCAGATGTAGTAGACCTAATACAGGCAAAATAGACTGTAATAAAAATGTCACCGCATTAGCAATTTACAACGATAGCTTTTTCGAAAACAGAGGATCATTAAAAGAGGTTTTGGATGCAAGGCTGAGAGAAATGTCAACCTGCAGAAAATCAATTACACAAATAATGGAGACTGAATAAGACAAAGCTAACGGTTTTAAAGCCTGGAGTGGGGAGAAAAAAGGAAGACGAGGGAGGCAAAACAAAAGACTATTTAGCTAAAGCTGTTCATCTTTGCTTGTTCCACTTCTCGAAGGTGCTTGAATTTTCTAAGAGCACTCCACATTCATAGTGTTTGATGTAGTTCATGGAGAGCTCTGTGAGGGAATTAGATAACACTTTCCTATAGGACATTAGAAAGACATACATTGACTTTATTCCCATCATTAAGCTTTTGTAGGGTTACACAATGCCTGTGTCGCCCTGAATATCAGCGCTAACAGTATATAAGAGGATATAAAAAAACAGGTTGTTCTTAGATGTCATGCTTTAAATCACACTTCAACATTTAATCCTTCCAAAGATTACAACACTCATTTATGTCAAAATCTTCATTTATCGTCACCGTGGGACGAGGTGGATCGGTAAATGTTTTACTTTAAGACTAAAGTGCAGTATCTTCGAATGATTTATTAGACTGTTGTGCTAATACTCTTCAGCAATTAGGATACCACATTTTCTGTTTTGGGAAATGATTGTCTGGTCAATTTTTGGATGACCTACAGTGTCTTCTCATTTTTGTTCCACCTCTGTTATGTGGTTGGTTTGATTTTTTTATTAACTGTTTTATTAATTGTTTTTTTTTAATTAATTGTAATACTTCTAACCAGACTGTAGGATATTTTATCTACTACTTCAAAAAAAAACAACAACTCTTATTTATAAAGCACCTTTCCAAATCAAAAGATCCTATACATAGTGTTAAAGAAAAAGACAAAAAGTTACCATAAAAAATAAACAAGAACATACAGGATTTAATGTAGGAGAATTATATGTAGGCCCCAGTAAAAAGGTGAGTTTGGAATTTAGATCTGAAGAGAGTCAAAGAAAGGAAGGACATTCCATAACAAAGGAACAGTGACAGAAAAGACATGGACAAAATAAGTCCAAGATTTAGCCCCAGGTACATTGAGAAATGGACCAGCCTCAACTGAACAGAGCCTACAGGAGGGAGTGTAAACATGGAGGAGTTCAGGGATGTATGATGGAGACAGATTATTTAGAGCCTTAAAAGCTGGTATCAAGATTTGTTACCTGTACCTTTAATGAAGTGAATCAACTGTGAAAAATCCCGAAGAAAAAATCCAGCATACAATAAAATAAATAAGATAACTGTTTAATTGTCTGCTCAGGTTAAAACATGAAAGCACTAGGGCTGAGTATATCGGAGCTCAGTAACTGCAGTGAGAGGGCAAGAGAAAAAAAAATGGCTGTGTGTCAGCTATCTGGGGAATTAGTATAGCTGAACTATCTGTCAAAGATCTTTTTATTCCGTTATGCTAACAATGGTTTGCCTCCTTGTCTGAAGTAATCTAAAGCTGGCATCACTAACTGCTGTAGCAGGGAGAGTGCGCTCCACTGATGCATTCACTAAATTTGTCAGGATCATGAAAATGCAAAAAAAAAAAGATTAATTACTCATAGGACTCTATTCATCTCCTATATTCTCAAGAATATTCTTCCAATCAAAAGTGACAACCATGCAATCCCTCACTGGTGTAGGTGAAGCAAAATGACATTTTTTTTAATTATTAAATTTATTTTTAAAGATTTTACTTTTTAACATTTTTAAATGTTTAAAAACCCTGCAGATATTTTTCTTCCTAGCCTCTTTTTCCATATTATATATACACACACACACATAGGTCATGTGACATATATTTGCCTGTACGTTTTATTTTCAATTTCTGTGTGACAAGCTCATGGGTTAAAAACAAAATCTCCTCTCCAGTTGATGTACTGCTGTAAACACCGGTTGTTGTTCTATATTGCCCCCTTGCGTCTACCGTGGTCTCAAGCATAGAGTTTAAATTTATCACCCAAGCAACCGCTTTTAATTACTTCCCATACCATCACTACTGTCACCTCGTTCACACAGGCTGCACATTAAGTTATACATTTTATTACTTTTATTTTGATTCTCGACAACTTTGCATAGCTTTGGACAAATTATATATATATATGTGTGTGTGTGTACTTCACAAAGGATTAAATAGAATGTATTGCTCAACCATGTGCACAGACGGTACTACGTCAATAAAAGTGATGTAAGACATCTCCATGATAGGTAACTTCCAACTTTATCGATTTATTTTTGTTAATTTTTTTTTTGAGCGTGCAGGATATAGACTTTGTAACAAAGTGCTTTAAATATGTGTTTACATGTATAGACGGCCCGGCAGTTCTTGGATCTTCTGGGTTCGATTCTGTACTGGAGTCGAATTCTGCGTTTGGAGTTTGTATTTTCTCATTGTGTCTGCATGTTTGTCCCCCGGGTGTTCCGAGTTTCTCTGACTATGTTAACCGGTGTCTTGGTGTGTGCCTAAGGATGAACCAGCGAGCCACCCAGAGAGCAGCAGCGCCCGCTCCTTGTGACTGAGACTACGAGTTGCTCCAAGTACCCCTTACCACTGTAGGAAATAAGCGGCTTGATAGAAACGTGTTGTCAGTGTACGAAACATCCTAATTCCAATCCATCAGTCATCTTAGTTGTATTAATGCAGTCATACTAAATTAGTGGACGTCTTGTGACAGTTTTTTTATCTCCATAAATAGCCGCAGTTCTGGTGCATGTCCTTCCTCTTTAAAAAAAAAGGGTATGAACTTTGGGATCAACAATGGCGGGCTGTTTCACGTTTCAGAGGGTTCCGGAAAGGATAATAAGGCATTTTTTAAGGTCTAAACTTGCATTATATTCTGTATATAGTGAGTGGTTCTGTTTTGCTCAAGGTCATTTAGGTGTATGGTCCAAATTAGGGTCTAATCCAAGCATCCAAGCATTAGTTCGGTCATAGTGTAGGTGCGTTGTAGTGGAAACAGAAAATACATGTTAAACATATCCGGTAGTTTCCCAAAAAAAGGACTTCATGGAAACAGAAGTGATTTACACACATTGTGCTACTTCGTTTTGCACTACAGCATATTTTATGGTTTCCTATGTGAGATCTGTCGTAAGCGTGAATTTGCTACCGAATAGTTGAGTATGCTTTACGTTTGTTTTAAATTAGCAACTGATCAACACTTTAAAACTGGCGATTTGACTTCTTAATGCACATCATACAATTAATACATTAAGTTCAAATCTGGAAGAAAAACCTGTTGGAGCTCAAGAAATGCAATTGACTAACCCCTGCTAGCTTTTAAATAGATGTTTCATAGCGCTGGGAGAAAGTGAAAATACTCAACGTACTGTACTGTACCTGAAGATAATTAAGATGATAAATACACGTGCTTAAAGAGATAGAAGTTATCCTTTTGATTTGTGTAGTGAAAGTATGAATTTACTTTTAAACGTCATGCACTTTTGTTATTATTACAAAGATGTTCCAGTAAATAAAAACGCTTAAGGAAGCAAAAAAGTAACAAATACTGCCTTCTATCTGTAAATAAAAATACTACCCACTACTTTACTGTTAGTACTGATTTTCTAGAGCATGCAATAATTTGACCACGGTTGGCTGTCCTACAGTTGTGAGCTGTTTTATTCGTGCAGGGTTCGAGGTGCGAGGATCAACTTTGGTATTCAGTCAGTCTTCAACAGCACATCAGCTCAGCACCGTACTTCATACCGAGCTGCCCTATGCACAGAGCTGAAGAAGCCTCTCGTCCTGCAAGACGTAGCAGCAGCTGAACTTAAACCAGCTGAGGTACCCTTTTATGGTGAAAACGTCTTCTTGCTATGGGATATACAAATCCTTGAAATTGGCTGAATCGTGTGATCTTCTAGTAAGTACGAGCTATCAGTGAAAGATGCCCATTACGGATTTATATTAGTAGCAGGGACCTCTGTAATGCATGGGGAATATCAAAGATCTTTGTAAACAGATAATACCCTAACTGCCCCTGGACTGATCTAATGCTTTTATTTTGATTATACTGTGATTGAAATGTTATTTTTTAACTGTTTTGTACTGATACGTAGGGAATATTCTACAGTGTAATAATATATTAACATGGCTCCTAATTGAAATGTATTATGACAAGTGTGGCAATCTTTATTCTTAAGGTAAGAGTGGCGGTCCATTTTTGTGGAGTGAACTTTGCTGATATTCTGGTATGTCAGGGACTGTACCAGGAGAAGCCTCCCCTACCTTTTATTCCTGGTAGGTTTTACCACTAATGATGAACACCTAGAGCATGCCATATTTGTAGATGTCCGTACATTAGTCTAAGATCAGGTTCACATAATGAAAACTATATCAGCTATAGATAAGTAGTTGTATAATGTTTAATTACAATCCTTAAGAAAAGCAGTTTTAAGGGCATTACCACCTTGTACCCCAAGCTCAATAGATTTCAGAAAGTCAGCAAGGTAGTGCCTGGACAGAACTAGGATGGTGGTCCTCTAAGGAAAACCAAGTTGCTGCTGCAAGTGATGCCATTCCAGAATTTTGATAGCAGTGTCCCAGTGTAGTAACACTGTGTTGCACGGGATGCTGTCCTTCGAATGCTACATTAAAGGACTACTTGGTTATTAAGGATCTATTGGCACTTCTCAAATTCAAATTCAAGATGGAAGAAATACTGTTATTATAAATTATTAAAAAATTATTTTGCCATGCTATCAAGAACACTGAGGTCCATATCGTTACTGGTATGGCCCTGGGTAAGGCTCAGGATTAATACATTGTATCGTTTTATTATAATTACAGGATGACCCCGTAAATTGTATATATTTCTGAGGCTTTGTTCTGTCTATGTATATGTAAAAGAATGTGGAAGTAACACTTCATTACAGTATATTGTGATAACTAATGCATTATTTTTTTAATCGCATTTGATACAGGGATGGAGTTTTCAGGCTGTGTGGTTGAAACAGGACAGAATGTGGTAGAATTTCAAAAAGTAAGGCACAAATTCATCAAAATTGCAGGAAGTGCTGAGCAAAATATTTTGTGAATATTTTAATACCTTTACATTACATGTTTCTTTATATATATATACAGTATATAAAGGATAAATATGTAGAGCACATTCATTGTCTTATATGAATAATTCACAAATCATGTGGTCTAAATGCAGCATTGTGCATTCAAGCAACACTTCTACACCCAGAAGGAAATGATGTATAATGTCACCTACAAATTACTGAAAATCAGACAAGCAAAAAGAAGCAGATAATGTGTGTTCTGACCTTTAACATAAATAATATAGCCAGCTTCTTGGAATTCCAGGGGTGAGAAAACCACAGATAGAGAGCATGTTCTTTGAGTGAAGTGTAATGCAGCCGGAGGTTTTAACAAAATATTACTGTAGCGTAAATTCACTTTACTGTGCATTACAGATAAAAAACACACTCTGCTTCTACGTAACTGAATATAAGCCCTTACAAGCCCTAGCAGTATTTCTCTCAGTGCAAATTGAAAAGTGAAGCAGTTACCCACTGGATAGGAGGGAAGTTACTCGTTATTCATATCAACTTGTGGGTGATATTTTTGTTTTCAGAATAGTTTAAAATTTTCGTTTCAGGGAGATCGTGTGATTGGGGTCGGAGGGAGTGGAATGGCAGAGCAGTGTGTTGTTGATCAAAAGGTATTTTACTTCTCTTTGGACTTTGAACCTCTCTAGCTGACACTTTTAAAAAGTGAAATGTTAATTCCCCTTTTCGCACTTTCAATACAAACGGTCTTTGTAAATGGAATTTAAACTGCATTGTTTGTATGGAAGCACATGAAAGCTGAGGCAAGTCCATACCTTGATAATTAACAGATTATAAGCATTGGTGCATTAATGCGGGAAATATTTGTTTGCATTTGTTTTGGATTTTAAGTTACATCAGTGGCAATTTAAATTATATTTCTTGAATTGTCTGTGTTGTTTTTAGATGCTGTGGAAGATCCCCAATGAACTAAGCTATGAGGAGGCAACTGCTCTGCCAGTATCTTATGGTACAGGGCTGCTAGCACTAAAACACAGAGCAGCCACACAAGTAGGGTGAGTCTTTAAGCAGACAACCCAGAGAGTGAATGCCATGTGTCTTGATATCTCTCAGTAACCTGACATACTGGTGTATACTACCTGTCTCTGTGCTTGCAGGGAAACAGTGCTGGTCACTGCAGCTGCAGGGGCAGCAGGGCTTGCTGCAGTTGATATTGCATCCCAAGCTCTCCAAGCAAAGGTGAAGAATTGGTGACTACAGTAAAATTCTCCTGACTATCTAATCTACAGAGATACTGACATAAGGAGTAGAGTGCTCTATTTACCTGTTTTAACTCAGACTGTACAGTCTTCTTTTTTTCAAAATTGAGAATGATCAAAGGACATTATTTAATGATTGGTATAAATACCATTTAGAAGGCACACCAACTGCAGAGTGCAAAAATAGTAATGGTTCAGTTACAATGGTACAGTTATTGATCAAATTCTTCACAGTTCTTTCCAGTAATGCACTTATAATAATTGTGTAATTAAACAGTTTGTGATGTCCCCTTTTCTTTATTCACTTGCACTGTATCTGGGATCTTTCAGTTGTGTGAACTAAATAAGTGCAGTATATTCCAAAATTCTTATTTGTGTACTTGGTAAACCTGCAAAGTTTGGAGCACACTAAAAATATGTTTGTGAAAGTATTTGTATATTTCCTCAACGTTAACAGGTAATAGCTGCAGCAGGAAGTGATGAGAAGTGTGCCATTGCTGTACAGAAAGGAGCATTTGCAAGTATCAACTACACAACCTGTAACCTGAAGGAGGAGCTAAAGAAGCTTACGAACAAGGAGGGGGTGAATGTTGTGTTTGATACTGTTGGGGGAGACATTTTTAAGGATGCTCTTAGTAGGTGAGTGAAAATCAACACTTTCTTTAATTATTACATATTGTATGACTAAGTCAAAACTGAATGCAAAAGGGAATTGTCCTGCAACACTACAATCGGAAATGTGTTTTATTGAATAGTCCAATATGTAGATCATGTTATTTCAAAAAGGTACCGCATCCGTTTCATGGTTGAAAAGATTTATCTATATACTTTGTCTTTTTGTTGTACAGGTTAAATTTTAAAGTTTAAACATATCACTGAATCGCTTGCTGTAAAAAAAAAAAAAAAAACATTACATTTCTGCTGTTACACCTTTCTTGCTGCATCCTTCATGGAATTTTGAATTAATATCCAGTTATTTTGTAGACCCGAGCCTTATAAATCAGAACCATAATTATGAAGATCAGTGTTAAGTGAGAACTCGTTTTGGTCGAGCCGTAATTTGTCTTACACTACATTTTTCCTTGCAGCCTACGCTGGGAAGGCAGAATTGTAATGGTTGGGTTTGCTGGTGGAGCCATCCCTTCCATTCCAGCCAATCTGCTCCTACTTAAGAATATTTCAGCAATGGGGGTTTTCTGGGGGCGTTACAGGGAAGAGAATTTCCCTTTATTCTCCCAGTCTATTTCTCAAGCCATTCACCTCTTCCAGGCAGGAAAAATCAAGCCTCACATTGGAGCCACATTCAAGCTGCCACAGGTAAGCGTGTATACCAAGTTATTCATTTGGTATTAAAGAGGAGATATTTTGGCTCACATTTTAAAAAATCAACATAAATATTTGACTTTCTGCCGTTCCTTTTTATCCAGGTAAATCAAGCCTTTCATCATGTGTTGCAGCGACAGTCTGTTGGAAAAGTGGTCGTATCCATGAAGTAATGTACGCAAGAACACATGAGTCATGATAGTATTCCTCAGAAGAAATCACATACAACCTCAGTTACCAGGTTGTCTGGAGCAATAGCTCTTTAGAAAAAGCTTCACCAATATTTCAATTACTGTTTTTTCTTGTCACAATGAAATCATGAAATCAACTTGAATACTCCTGTTTTGAGCAATTCCCTAAAACCATATAGATTACCGATATAGGTTTGAATACTACATGCTTGTACTACTGTATCATCATGGTGTGTAGAGGTACTGTAGTACTAGGGAGGTGAAAATACTGAAGTGCGATCTCAGAAACAGCTGATGAAAGCTTACAGTTAATTATTCAAGTCTTGTGCTTTATTACATTCTAGAAAAAATAGCAGTTACTATACTGATATCAATATCAGCATTTCCTATAAGTACACATTTTGCTATTCTGTTACATGAACTGAAATACATACAGTAGCTCCGTCAAATGATTCTCTTCTGCATTTGGTGTTTCTTCCTTCTCAGTTTCTGATGGTTTTAGACAAAGGTTCTGGAACTGTAATTAAAACATACAGGTAGAACTGAAATGTAGCTGAGAAAAATAGTTTTGATTTTAGACACAATTGTAGCAATTACATTAAACTGTGAGACTTAAGCTAAATCAATATCAATGACTTACTTGTAATTCTCAATTTAGCCAGAATTGGATTCAAGATTTCTTCAAGGTGTTTCTTCTGTTCCACAAAGTCCTGTGCTGTTGCATTTTTAGCATTCTGAATCCAGTCAGATTTTGTTAAGCAAGAATTGAGACAAGTGTTCTGAAATAGACAAAACATATAAACTGTGCATAAATATCTAGTTACAGAGTGAATTCCTTGAGAGAATGGGAAGTTGAAGAGTCATACAGCCCTTATGACTTGTTCGGTTGCTAGTAACCAACTCATCCAAGAATCTCATAAAGCTGTTTTTTGAAGGATCCAAGGGCATCACCTTTAACAGTCCTTTCCTTTTTTTAAATAATATATCTATTCAGTAAACATTCACTTATGAAATGATCTGTTATCTGTAGTGTATGTCCATTTAGCCATTTTCTTATCCTTTGTCCAGTGCATGGAGACAGAGCGCATCCCCCAGCAAGCACATCGTCTTAATGAAGGTCTTGTCTTTTGTGTAGTGCACATTCACTTATACAGTACCAACTCAGTGTGTACTACATTAAATTAAAAAAAAAAGGCTGAACATAAACTATGTCTAAAGATGTCCAGGGGACATAAAGAGAACATAACTAATAATATGTGAATGGTAGAATTTACCTTATCTTCTTTATTTAGCTTCCCTTGAACCTTTTCCGGATCGGCAATAATTTCTCTTATTTGGCTGATGAAGGAATGCAAGTCTTGCTTGGCTTCTAAAGACCAAACACAGTATCTGTTAACAGGCTGTCGAGAAAAGTCCTGGAAGTTTCTAAGCTGGTAGTCTGATAAATCATTAATAAGTAATAATTAAAAAAATACATAATTAGTTGTGATTTTTAGTTTTAGCATCAGTTCAGTGAGGATATTTCTCCGTTTCACATACCTGCCCATGTGAGGTAATCGGCACACTCCGTCTTAGAATAGCGGCAGGCAACGTCTTTGGCTTTTTCGCCACGAAAGTTAGGGGACTGGATGTCGGCACCCAGTTCAACCAAAGTTTTCACCGTCTCCAGGTGACCCCACAGCGCGGCGCAGTGCAGGGGTGTGTAGCCTGTAGAGAGAACGGCAACACCCCACCGGCAAGTCACGATTCACAAAAGGGTGAAAAACCGCAGAACATGAAGAAAAAGCGAAAAAAAAAGAACACGATACGGCTGAAAGTTGGTTTTTATTCGCAGAAATTTGCCATATTATTCTTTTTAGGTGGCAGTAAGGGCACCCAGTGTGCAGACCAGGATGACCCAGATGTTCTGTTATCAGAATGACTCTCATAGTGAGCAAGATGCTGTAGTTCAGTCTCACCTCTCACTGTGCTGCTGTTCACCGTGACTCCGTACTTCACCAGCTCCTGCACGATGCCGGCCCTGCCATGCATGCAGGCTGTAAATAAAGCGTTTCTCCCGAGGACGTCTTTCTCCTCGAGCATTCTGGTGCTTTCTTCGTTGCTCTCGTTTTCCGTGCTTCCCAAGAGCTTCCGAAGACCTTCGATGTCTCCTGACGAAGAACAGCCAAAAATGGGGTTTTGGTCACCGGGTCCCATAAGGTTTGTACTTAGTGCGAAGTCTTGCTACCTGCAGATAGGCAAAGGAACGATACACATCACTTAAAGGATTGTAAGTTGTGAAGTCATATATTTATAATGTCCAAACTTGTACTTATTCTATGGTAGTAAAACATACAAAACAGGCGTTGCCGTGAACAATCTGACCGTAACATATTCTGCAAAACAGACAGATCCGTGACATGCATGGTTACGGATTCTTGGTGAACGTTTTTGTTAATGACTACGCCTAACTAATTATGAAGTCGATTTTTTACATTATTATCTGGGTGTTTTCTGCAGCACTTTAGTCAAATTAACATCGATACCGTTACACGTAAAACTGCTACATCCAGAATGCAGACCACTAAGTCACTACAAAATGCTAAGCAATTGAATGTTTTATTTGTTTAAACACTAACTGCAATGAGATTCTTTAGTCGTGTATGCATGCCATTGTACAGCACTCATAAATACATTCGTACCCCTGTCATTGCTTTTAAACGATACGTTTCTGTCACGTAACCGATTCTGTGAGAATTATACAAAAGTTCCTGAAACAGATGTCTTTGATAAAGGTATAGGCTCAACATTTTACAACAAGCAAAGTGCAGGTAACTTAACTGTATGTTGACATTTAATGAAAAAGACACTTGGTCGCTAAGTGTAGCGTAAGAACTTTCCACCAAGAAGTGCTTCTGTTCTGTTGCCATGGGAACCAGTTGTTTCACTGATTGTCTTCCGTAATCCTGTGGAACTAGAAAGTCACAGTCTCATGAGACCGTTGCGTTCCACAAGCCTTTGTCCATTTCTTTGAACCACGGTGGAAAAGTTAACTCCAATAAAGTTGTTATTATTGGAGGCAGAATGAGGTTATATCACAGAAGGCTCACTGGTTGTTATAAACAGCAAATGCATTGCGTAGAAATAGCTGTTCCATCGAGGTTCTAAAAATTGCACTGAGCAGCTGAAGCATACCAGCGATAGTTAAGATTGCAAGCAGAATTAATAGCTTTTGGAATTACTTCGATTATTTTTTTAGAATACTTTAGAAAATAATTCTCCTGTACCTGAGATCAAGTAGATAAATATAGAAGTATAAAATATTATATTTTGCATGTGTTCTAACCTTTACCGTTATGTATAAACCTAAATGTAGTTCTAGGGGGAAAAAAAAACTTTCAAAACACTGGAGAGTTTTTACGTGTTGTAGTGTTTACTTCTTTTTACGTAGGAACCAATGTTAAATGGAAATACTCGCAGTTGTCATAGTTTCTAGGGGGAACTTTAAAGTCGTATGTCCGTTTCCTGTTGATTAGAATCCCTAATGAAGGAAAGATTGAGGTTTTGGAGTCAAACTCTGTTTGGATCATTTAAGTCGTGAGTACAATTAATAATACATTTTCTGAAATTGTATATAATGTGTACATTTGTGTCTAATAATGCCCTATACATGCAATTAATACACATTTTTAACACTGCATCTAGTGTTGGCGTTTCATGGTATGAATTTCTAATGAAACGATCAACAGAGTGATGAAGATGACACTGCGTTACAATTTCTATGTAATGGAATTAGCAATTATATATCCGTATTTGTAATTATTCATCTATCAGCTCATTTCAGTTTAGAGGCCTTAAATCAATCCGCGGTGGAATGTATTGTGTATTTTTAATTCTGTAATTCTGAATCTTTCTGTCGTACTTCTAGTAAATACACCTTAAATTAGAACAGAAAGGCTAATGCCACGTTTTAGATCCCAGATACCGATTTTGAAAGATTTTACAAGTATGGAATTCTGTATTTTCTTATCGGTATTCACAGTGACGGTTCTCTTGCATGGTTCATTATATTTAAGTACTTCTTTTTAGGTCGTTGTATAGCATAATTAATTACGCTGTATTCTTAAATAAATTGTACATGGAATATAAAATTGAGATTATCTTTGAAAACTCGCACAACCTAAGACTGATTTTGAAAAAAAACTGATTTTGAAATCATTTCTAGTGTTACACTTTTTTTAATCTTTCAAATTCTTATAAAAATGCTAAGCAGGTTGCAATTGCATAGTCTCCAATGTACTTCTAATTCGTTACAGGAGCTGTGTTAGTACCCCCAGTGATTTCAACCACACACACGGAGTAAATTTTACATGTCAGGAAGGGTGGTGTTGTTTGTTTGTGATCATACTAAGGTTTTCACTGTTAGCCCTTACAGAATGTTTCAGTTCATTTTAGATGCTGTAGGAATGCTAGGAAAATGTGGGCTTTTGTCTGAGTGTCGCAAATCAGGAGTTTGAACATCTCATCAGTTTTTATCATACCTGTGAGCAGTATTATACAGGCTTCTTCTCCATCTTAGAAGGACATTTCTAAATTATATCTATCTTTATTCTCACATTAGAGGCACAAAAACATGAGACGGACAGTGACTGACTGTCCTCTCATTGGCTCCTACTGTAAAGGTGAGGTGGCTCTGTGTCTAAGGATCTGCGCTTGTGGCTGGAAGGTTGCTGGTTCATATCCCACAGCCGGCAGAGGAATCCTACTCCATTGGGCCCCTGAGCAAGGCCCTCAACCCCAAACTACTCCAGGGGCGCCTTATAAATGGCTGACCCTGTGCTCTGACCCCAAGCTTCTCTCTTCCGGTCTGTGTGTCTCATGGAGAGCAAGCTGGGGTATGCGAAAAAAGACTAATTCCTAGTACAAGAAATTGTATATGGCCAATAAAGTGATCTTATCTTATCTTATCTTCTTATAAAGCGCAAAAATAATGATTGAGGCTCAATTTATTATTTGTGTTCTGTTCCAAACATAGTAAAAGTTGCTTATTCAAACTCTATAAGCAACACTAGATTTGCATGGAGTTTATGCAATACTGAACTGAAACGATATTTTTAAAGGGGAACATTTCCCTGTGTTTATAATTAGGATATAACCCATAATCGGTTGTAAGAGAAGTCATCTTGAAGGGTTTTGTCACGTTGTGGGCGCAACACACTCAAATACCTTATTCTGTATGGATTCAGGCCCAGCCTGCGTAGGATTTGGAGTTTTCTCATTTGGTCGTTTTTGTCCTTGCAGAGCAGGTGAAAAGTGAGGGACAGAAGGCTGTATTTTCTGTGCATGGACGGGAAGCCAATGCGCAGGTAAGAGTTAAGGATTATTTCTTGCATATATATATTTCAACCCCCTAGTACTAGTACTTTTGGATTTGTTTGTGATTTTCTAGTTAAGGTCCTCTGAACGAAAGGACATTAAAAGACTGGCCCTGTGAATTTTGTGGACAGTTTTTTGTGATTGTTTTTATGGTTAGGGAGAACATTGGTGTTTTGAATATATAGTAGAGTATTATTTTAAAATCACAGTGGCTAGGATGCATTTTAATGAACTTATTTTACTCTGTATGTTACTCTGAAAAAATACATCTGAACTAAAAATAAAACTACAGGGGATTTGTCTTGTTAATTCACATTTAAGTATCATCTGTTTTCCGTTTACAAAGATTTATAACTGAAAACTTTAATCATATAAACTTTTTAATCGTGTTGACTTTGAATCGTATAATATTGCGTTCTTTAAGAAGCTCAAGGAATACTGCTTAAAAAATAACAAAAAAAGTGAAATCTTTAGACTGGAGAGCGTTGTATGGAGAATTGGTTGGAGCTGAAGTTCTTCACTAGTACTAGTTTGTTTTTCACTTGGTGCCAGTTTTAAACATTAAAAATTAAAAATGAAATGTAGTATGGTTTATGTGTCGCTTAAAGCCCAGATTAAGTGGTATCTGGAACAAGTTCTGAAAAGGCATTTATTATCATCACGTTCCACATAGTTCTTTTGCACTCCAAATAGAAAGAAAGAATTTCACTTGCATGCTTTGCACTTGTACCATAAAAAGCATTTCAATCTTAAATTAGTTTGTAGTTGATAATGAACCTTCTGGGTGTTTACGAGGTTCATAATTCTAAAGTTGCTGTGCCTGCTTGGATGCTTGTAATTTCAGCTCAGCTACTCTTTGGGAGGATTACAGATTTGAGAGTTTGTAATTCTTCACAGCAGCTGGTTTTTCCATTTACCCCAGCTTATTTTGAGATAGGACAACTTGAGCCAATCCAGAAAAGGTTTTTGCTCCTATTTGTTTGGTGACAACAAAATGGATCCTATCAAATGTGAAATGTTTTCTTTCCTTATTATAAACAAAAAAGCTAATCAGACCTATGCAAATGAATCCTGACATTTCCAGGATAAATAGTAGTTTTTAAACTATACTGCTTTAATGTTTCCTGACACCGATCATGCTGTTACAGAATATTTTTCACAGAGAAGCTGGCAGCTTTTTACACTGTGGATAGCCACATTAGTTATAAGTTAAAAATTTAATTTTGCTCAAATTAGTTATGGGTTTTCTCTACTTGTCACACACTGAAGAACTGAAAAGCTGTTTTATCTGTGGCTCCACTTGTGTCATTGACTCTGGTTTTATATTCTGTCTTAGAGGCCCTAGGGAACTGATAGAGGGCAGGTTGCCTTATGCTTTTAATGTCCATCCCGTTTTTAAAAATAAATTACTTTGAGCTATAATTGGACCAGCCGATTACTGTACACAGACAGCGGCAAGAGAGTGGCAGCTGATTTCTACAAACCCCCAGGAGTGATCCGTGACTGAGGTCAATTAGAGCAGAGCAGAGAGAATGCTTGGCAAGTTGGAGATATTGCATGTAGTTCCCTGTTCGAGCTGGGCGAACTGCAGATTGATACACACTAGAGGAAGAAGGCATGGACTGCACTACCAGTGACCTGTAGGTAATCTGTACATTTTATTGTTGCTTTTTATGGTTTATGGTAGATCAGCTGCGATAGCGCACTGGGCTGAGTATTAATGTTCCCATTTCAGTGGCATAATTCTGTCTCTTTGGCTTATCTGGTAATCTCAGATATCCTGGTATAGTTTCCAAGCATAATGGAAATTTGCACATCACTTTAGTATTGAAATACTTTGGGTTTAATATTGATATATTTGTCAAATGTTTTTTGTAATGGTCAGACTAAGAGGTATTCAGGCTGCTGGTTATTAGGGCTTATGTTTTATTATTTGGCTCTTGTCAAATGGTCCATGTAAGAAGAAGTATTTGAGGTTCACAGATCTTCAGGTAGCATAGGCTGATTGTGCTGCTGTTAATACAAGCATTTCGAAGCAGGTAAGAGGACCATTGGCTGCAAAGCATTAACTCTCCCTTGCATTACTCGAGGTGTACCAGCGCACGCCCAGATACCACCGGAATGGACATCACCAGCCGCTGTACCCTCGGTGACCCCAACAAGCTCCCAGAGGGTGTTCCCCAGCCGGCGCGCATGCCCTACGTGTCGGACAAGCACCCTCGGCAGACCCTGGAGGTCATTAACCTGCTGCGCAAACACCGGGAGCTGTGCGACGTGGTGCTGGTGGTGGGCTCCAAGAAGATCTACGCCCACCGGGTCATCCTGTCCGCCTGCAGCCCTTACTTCCGCGCCATGTTCACCGGCGAGCTGGCGGAGAGCCGGCAGACGGAGGTGGTGATCCGCGACATCGACGAGCGGGCCATGGAGCTGCTCATTGACTTCGCCTACACCTCGCAGGTGACGGTGGAGGAGGGCAACGTGCAGACCCTGCTTCCGGCCGCCTGCCTGCTGCAGCTGGCGGAGATCCAGGAGGCCTGCTGCGAGTTCCTGAAGCGCCAGCTCGACCCCTCCAACTGCCTGGGCATCCGCGCCTTCGCCGACACGCACTCCTGTCGAGAGCTGCTCCGGATCGCCGACAAGTTCACCCAGCACAACTTCCAGGAGGTAAGGGCGCTCGCAGCCTGTGCTTTTGTGGCCTCTTCCAGACTCGAAAGCTCATTTCCATGTCACCCGAAAATGCCCACCCTTGATTTTATTTTTGTTTTTATGAAGGCCGTCTTTAAAGATACGCTGAGCCTTCCCCTGAAACCTTCTTGACTTTGCGCCATGACTTTGCTGTTTCAAAGCTGTGTCAGTAACTGCTTTATTGTCGGTCATTTTGCTGTATTTCTCAGCAAAATGTGAGCCACAGTGCTTTAGGCTGGCAGCCCGTTATTTTAAACGCAGTAAACTGCAATCCAACGATGGTGTGTTGGGAAAACAGGCTTTGTGTGGAACAGTGGCATGGGATTTGTGTAGCTCTTTTACAGTGTTGTACTGTTGCCGTCATTGTGTGTAGTAGAATAATTTAAATTATTTCAAAACAAAAGTTGTGCTAAAACCTGGCATGTCCAACAGTTATCTGTTTCTGGGAGCATCATAGACTAAAAGCTTTGTCACCCATTTGTATTATCTGTGTATTAAGTCAATGAGCTTTGAAACACTTGTTGTCTTAAACTTAGTTTAAACTTACCCTTACTTGGTTCTTGTACATGGTAACTGCCTGAAATGAAACCTGAAATGAATGTACAGTACTGTGGGTGTCTTTCCAGAAATATGTCATGAATAAGTATTCTTGCTAAACTGCCCTTTTCAACTTCTAGAGATATCCAGTCCAGAGAATATAAGACTTATCTTTTACTATTCAATTCATGCAATTTTATTTTAGACACTGTCAATTTAGAGTTACATATTGCTTTTGTCTTGGCACAATTGCTAAGCATCTGGTGGAATTTCATGATAACCAGAGACTGTATAAACCTTTTAATTAATTAGTCATTCAATATCATTATGTGATATTCACTGTTTTGTGTTCCTAGTTGATAATTATTTCAGCAAAAGCAAGTTTTAATTACCACGTATATCAAATCCCAAGAGAGAATAAATGTAGTTTTTTTTTTATATAGATCTCTAAATTGTTGTTAATATTTAACAATAAAGATTCTTATTTTTCTTATAGTATGCCTTCTTTGGTGTGACTAATTTAAAAATCCAGTTAAGTTTGATTGGGACAGCATTAGAAACAATAAGACTGATCATGCATGGTAATGCTTTCAATAAGACTCTAGGGAATGTTTAATTTTGAAGTCCATTAATCTTTTGAAAGAACCAAGCATTCAAAAGCAAGTCAGATTCCCTTGCTAGAATTCTCAAGATATTCAGTAGTTGTAATTACAGTTCCCAGATTGCATCTGGACTTCTGTGGCTGCCTTTTTCAATAAGCAGCAGCAGGAATTGTTGACGGGCTTGGGGCTGGCGTTTTGTCACCAGATCTGGTTTCATGACGGCAGGCAAGGTTCTGATGATACTGTAGAACTGTGGTCTTGGGACTAATTTTAACACGGATTTCAGAGCACTGGTGATAGAACTTTACAGGTCATACACTGCGGTTTCAAATAAAGCCCCCTGGAATATTGCATGTCTGAAGTACATTACTGGCTTTTTTCTGTGATGATCTTTTTTAAATATCAGTTTAGTTGCATACAGAGGATCTTTCTCTCTTTCATCTTAAATTTTATAGTAATACCCCAGGGTATTACCAGTGCTGGGTCATATTGCTTAAGGTTTGCCAAAGTTGTCAAACCCTGTGCTTTAAAGTAGTATATGGACACAGAGGATCTTGATTAATGCCTGAAGAGAAATATATATTTCATGGATTAATCCTTCTTCTCTGTGTAATTCCAGGAAGGAAAATTATAGTGCAGCAGATGTATATGAGATCGTGGCAAGTGGGTAGAATTCGTTTTATTAGCCTAAGGGGAAAACTGATTTCATTTTGCAGTGCTATCTAACATGACGGTGCAATCAAAGCCATCAAAAAATCTTTTTTGTCTTTATTTATTGTGTTTTGTATGCAATCTCGAGTTTCTAGTTAAATTAACAGGTGCAAGAGAAATGCTATTTGGAATATGAAAGTATGTAGTTAAGGAACGCTCTATTCAGGCAGAAACTTGTTAATTAATGTGTACAGCAGCTGTTTTCTAGGAAATGAGGTTTCATGCATGTCATCCAGTAAATATAGTCATCCATTCGTTATGATCTGAAGTTGGCTAGTTCAGAAGTCCCAAGGTAAACGTTTCCCGGTGGTATTGAAGGTCAGGAGGGTGGCATTTCTTCCTCTGGACACGAATTTCTAATCCTTTGCCCTGGTAAGGTGACTAGGGGACACTGTGTTGAAAGGATAGCCATCATTCAAATGGGATGTTAAACAGTGAGGACTTTGGTTTAGCCATTAAACAATTCTGTGAATATTAACTTGGGGTCCTGCTGAATTCCACACGGGCTAGCACTTTCTGGTCTGCCTAATGTTCCCTCCTTAGTTCAGTTGGAGAAATAAGCTAATTTTTCACTTCTTTGCCTGACTTGGCTGTGCTGTTGGTGCATCATGGCTTCCACACAATACCTACATATGTTTCAATGATGATTACAATGGGTCGCCTCTTATATGTAAAGTGCTTTGGAATTCTTTGGGAATGAAAAGCTCTATATACAGTAAATACAAGGGATTGTTTTTGTTATTTTTCAAACATTTTTTAATTTAAAATGTCACTTCAGCAGTCTTTTCTTTATGACGGTGTTAATAAAAATTGAAGACCATACCACTGTAGGAGTTTCTTTTACGTTATCCAGGTGATGGAGAGTGAAGAGTTCATGTTGCTTCCAGCTAACCAGCTGATAGATATAATATCGAGTGATGAGCTGAATGTGCGAAGCGAGGAGCAGGTCTTTAATGCAGTGATGGCCTGGGTGAAATACAGCATTCAAGAGAGACGTCCTCAGCTGCCACAGGTACTTATAGAACTGTCCCAATAGCTAGGTGTTTGGTGGTATGTTGGAGCTTTCTGTTTCAATCATCCATACATGTATATGTTGTGTCAATTAAATATTGCTGTACTGTTTTCATAACACTGATGTCACTCTACTGATTCCCTTTGGACATAAAAAGCTAACATTTGCACATGAAAAAGGTACAAGGTCTTTTAAGAAGGTGAAATGCATGTTTTGGACAGAGTAACAAAAGCATTTTTACTGACTGTGTTTTCCCTCGATGTGCCATACAAACTGGAGCTGGAGTGTTGTTATGCAAAAAGCTTTTAGTTTAAATTTTGTTGCGAGCAGTTTCAAATAGATTATTTAAAGGACTGTTGCCATTTTCAGCCCCAAAAACGTTCATATCCTTTTATGGCGAACTGCAATATTCATGAGATCTTTAAATGCCCAAAATACAGACTAAAAATATTGTAAAGTTGTTGTTTTTTTATTTTAACTGCAAATTAACTAATATAATCATTGTACCTAGAATTTTGTTTCAAGATCCTCTTCGGGTTGTAAAGATAAGAAATTGTCCACCTTTTTTTTACTTTTGATTTGTTTTAGGTGCTACAGCATGTTCGATTACCTCTCTTGAGCCCAAAGTTTTTAGTAGGGACAGTTGGATCCGACCCTCTTATAAAAAGTGATGAAGAATGCAGGTATGTATGCTGAGGAAGAATGAAACATCTTGGCTGTTGGCTATACAGTGGTAAGAAATCAGCTGTCCAAATGATTAAATGTGCTCTTGTTTCTAAATAAATATTTAATCTGCAAAAGTCTTCATCTCCATGAAGCACTCTTATAGTTCTTTTTATGAGAGGGCTGTATTAAATACCTCTAGAGTCATTACCGTCTGCTGTAATTTCTGGGTATCCCCAGAGCTGAGCTTTGCCAGCTGGAATAGATATGCTTAGGATAGTAAACTGTCTTCTCAGTTGGGAACACTGCTAATGCAGTTCAGGTTACTGTGATGTGCGGTGTGATTTAATCCTTTGGCTTGATGATAATCAAAACTATATTTAAAGGGATCCATGGATTACAGTACTGTATTTTCAAAAAAGCAATATAAAAAACACACTGTATGCAATGTGAGACATGAGTAATAAAGATACCATTACGTAAAATGTTTTGCTTATTTATCCATGTACATACAGACCTCAGGGCTTTTCACCTATGACATTTAACAGTGGAAGACTTCCAGCTTTTATCAGCTTAGTGATGGTACAAGAAAAAACCAGAGGTAGCCAGTTGCCTGTTACATGTTCCAGTCCTGAAGAATTATATTCCAACTCAGTGGCATTAGCCTTAGAATTCTTACACATTTATGGCTTTTATTAAACCTGCAGATAGTGATTGAGGGTTTAGGAAGACCAATGAGATATTTTCTAGATTTCTCTCCACTAAAAATTATATTTCTAGTTCTGTGTTTTTTGTAACGGGACCAGTCACTAGTCAAGGTCTTAACAATAACATTGGGATGCTATGATGTCTGAATTGGTGTATAAGATAATATCTGTAGTTTAGCAGTTTTCTACCTATTGAAAGGAGATTGTTTGAGGAAGTATTCTTCAGCTCTCAGATATACAAATTAGCAATGTGTCTGAGCTATGGAGCTAAGGAGTATAGATTTATCAGAAGTGTGTTGATTAACGTTTGAAAAGAGGTGAACTTGTGATATAAGCCTTATATCCTGTAGATGTACATGGAGTGAATGCAGATTTTTGTTTCATGACAAGGGCTTATGTTTCAAAGAGAATAAGTATAATTTCTTTTCAGTATTTCTATGCTTTGAGAATTGATATAGTTGAAATTGTACTTCGCTAGATTTAGCATTGTCCTCCAGGTTGGTTCAAATAGTAAAGGCAAACAAGACAAGGTCAGTGAATGTATTACGGTATTAAAAAGTGGTCAGCTTTCCTTATGTCAGTATTGTTTTGTTATGATTCTGTTTAACATTTCTGTTGCTTCTTTGTGAAGACAAAAACCTAAATCAAATTCTGACAAGAATTTCCAAACCAATGCTCCAGTATTTTGTTCAAGGACATTGTGTTGTAGGAAGTGCTATAATTTGGATGAGAATAAAATAAAATCTTGAAATAAGTTGATACATCACAACATTGTTTGTGGTAAAGAGTCTGGAGACACAAAAAATGGTCAAATGTGATAGATCTGACTTCATCTAGTTCTGAGGCTAAGGATGCCTTAGCAGTTCTGAGGCTAAGGATGCTCAAGACCTGTGTTTCTTTGTGAATTCCTGAGCACGTCAGTATTAATCTAGCTTCAGTATTTGTGATGTACTTAGTCTAAATCAGCAAGGAAAGGTTACATGCTGCTAAAAGACCTATATTTTTAATAGTCCTGAAAGTGGGTCTGTTCTTATTCCCATAAATAGTCCGCCAGCATGAAAATTAGATCTAATGGCAAACATTTTATATTCAATTTTTCAGCAGTATGGAAGAAGGCATCTATTTGCTTAAGTACTGTAATTACTAGATTGATGGAAAGCATACCAAAGCTGATTTAAGGTATGATTTAAGCCCTTATTATTTGTTGAAATTGCAGTTCTTTACCACATGCTACATTATTTTACTTAATGTTATGTGAAAAAGTGATATGCATTAGTGTAGTTTTCAGCCAAAAAGAAAGTGTTTTTATGAGAAAGTCATATGCCACACAAGTAGATGAGAGACTGGTAGATTTAAGCCTTTAAAACTCTGTTAAGTGCATTATGTATCGATCTTCACCTTTTATTGACAAGGTGCAATATATTGACAAGACTGTATCTGTCCTCCTCATTAAATGTTGTTTGCTTTGCAGGACTCCTAACCTAGTGGAGCATGCATTTTATTTAGTGTAATTGTTATTCTGCAGAGACCTGGTTGATGAAGCCAAGAACTACCTCCTGTTACCTCAAGAGCGCCCCCTGATGCAGGGACCCCGAACACGCCCTCGAAAGCCCATCCGATGTGGGGAGGTTTTGTTTGCAGGTGGGTGTGTGAGAAATATAAAACAGAATTATATAATTATAAAACAGAACAGATATAATTATGAAACAGAATATATAATATCATTCAGAACACCACATGCCAGTTTGGTAAACAGATTGATAGGAAGTCAATTTACTTGTTTGTTGTAAATTCTGATGTTCAGAGACTTAAGAGCTCCAGGAGTTAAAGTAATTAAGCATATGTTATTTATATCAACAAACACAAAACAGAATGGAAGATTATACAGAATGGGAAAAAGGAAAATGGCCTTTTGAAATGAGAAAATGTGTCTGCCTTTGCTGTCAAAATTTGGAAAAACTGCAGATTGGGTCATAGATGTAATTACATCCATAAGAACAAATGCTGTAAAAGAATGTAACCACGAGCTAGCCAAAGATATCTTACGCTCCCTCTACCTTGTAGATGAGATTTTTTTTAAGGTGCAGTCTGTAGAAATTGAATTGAGAGATCTGTAAAGCACTTGCAGGATCGTTGGCCTTGTCCCAGGAGTTCCAGATTGGATGGATTTGTGGAATGCCAAGTCTTTACCCTCTGTCAGAATGATTAACCTAATTTGCAGGGTGTTGGCCGCTCAATCAGGAAATCCTGAGCAAGGCAATTGTGTGTCCGGTGGAGCGGAAAAAGAGCAGAAATTCCTTCTGATTAAATGAGGGCGATGAAAAGGTGACATGTCTTTCCAAAGCGAAACTAATTTTAGCCGCTGTGCTTTAGTTGGAGGCTGGTGCAGTGGTGACGCCATTTCCAGTGTGGAGCGCTATGACCCTCAGACCAATGAGTGGCGAATGGTGGCATCCATGAGTAAGAGGCGCTGTGGAGTAGGGGTCAGTGTCCTGGATGACCTCCTGTACGCAGTGGGGGGGCATGATGGCTCTTCGTATCTCAACAGTGTGGAAAGGTAGGTGTTGCCGTTTCTATTTCCCTCTCGTTCTGTCCTGAGACAGTGCGCCGGAGATACTGAACTCGCCTTCTCTTCCTCCCAGGTATGACCCCAAGACAAACCAGTGGAGCAGCGATGTGGCCCCTACCAGCACCTGCCGGACCAGTGTGGGGGTGGCCGTCCTTGGCGGGTATCTGTACGCAGTGGGAGGACAAGACGGGGTTTCTTGTCTCAATATTGTTGAAAGGTGAAAAGCTCCCTTTAAAGCCGTGCGGTCGATTGGGAATAGCCCTCAGGATCTGGGAAAAGGATTACAGTTCCCTTTAAATAAACCCAGACTTTCTAATGGGGGAGATGCATTGAGATCGGGAGCTGTGAAATTGAGTACCCCCATCTTCATCATCTGGTTTCAATAAGAATCAAGGTGAAGAGCACTATACAGTATGTGCATTGGGCCAGGGAATTTAGCCCTTTCTCTTTGCAGGTACGACCCTAAAGAGAACAAATGGACACGCGTGGCCTCCATGAGCACCAGGCGCCTTGGCGTGGCCGTGGCTGTGCTGGGAGGATTCCTCTATGCGGTTGGAGGCTCAGATGGAACGTCTCCTCTCAACACTGGTATGGAGACCACGCCTGTCTGAAAGCTGCTAATAAACTGCTTGAAACCTAGAAAAATTGCCTGAATGTAATAACCAATGGTAATCATTTGGTGGGACAAGCAAAGTAGTTGCTGAAACCCGCTTGTTTTTGTTCCGATTTATGAGTTTTGGTTTTCTTCTGTGGTTGACATTACATGCCTGTGAAGTCCAGTTGTGTTGGAGTGATAAAACATCACGGGCTAATGGAAAATAGGAGCAGTAGTAGCCTAGGGTCACAACTGAATAATGCTGGTTGGCCATGATTTGGCAGCCATCTTTGAGCATTGACTTGTCCTCATAGTCAAGTGAACAAATATTGCAAATTATTGAGTGTCGATGGAATCATGTTAAATAGGAACCCTATTGCATTGATTGTGACATTGTCTGTGATGTCTGACCTTCCAGGCTAATAAATACAGGGCTCTCATTCTGGATTCTGTTTTACATGTTGTACCTCATTTCTGTTTGAAAAAGTATTGGAAACATATGCACTGATCTCCTGTTTTCTTTCCAAGTTGAGCGCTATAATCCTCAAGAGAACCGCTGGCACACAGTTGCACCGATGGGCACGCGTCGGAAGCACCTAGGCTGTGCGGTGTACCAGGACATGATTTATTCTGTGGGAGGAAGGGATGACACCACAGAGCTCAGCAGCGCAGAGAGGTATAACCCCAGAACCAACCAGTGGTCTCCTGTAGTGGCCATGACATCGAGGAGAAGTGGAGTAAGTTTGTGTGCTTTCTCACTGGCAAGATTTGGGTGACAGATGGCCGTGATGTGCTATTTGACTGTACTAAACTAATAAAGTTCAAAAGGTATTGCAGTAAATGTGACTTTGTCAATCAGGTTTTAAATCTTACTGTAGAAAAACAAAACACAAATGCAAGTGGTACATGAGCAGGGGAGCACTGCTGTTTTATAGAATTTAGCAATTGTTGCACTGGTGCACGTGCTGCAGCTGAGATGTCAGGTGCCAAAAACGGTACTCGAAGGTGCTCACTCTAATGCAGATCGAGCTCTGAGATCGTGGGTTCAAGCCTAGGTCACGTCAACAGCCAGCTGCGCCTGGGATTTCCCAAGGGGCAGTGCACAATTCACTGAGTGCCACCCAGGGGTGGGTGGGATTCTAATGGCTCTTGGCAAGGCAGCAGCCCCTGTGCTGCTTGCAGGAACATGCTGTCGTGGAGGGATGAGCTTCTCCTTCAAATTGATCCCCAATGTCTGGTACTGTGTTGCCTGTAATAGCTGGGCGCCGGGTGGGACATTAGTCTGTGTACACCACCTCATTTTCCCCATGTGCAGTTGCAGGCTGGATTGCTGCAAGCTGAGACATGAAAAAACGGAATTGACTGTTCCAAAGTCGTCAGAGTATAACACAAATAATTTAATATTCAAAATAAAAAGGTATCTGATTATTTTTATCTTGTAGGTTGGTTTAGCTGTAGTAAATGGGCAATTAATGGCAGTCGGTGGCTTTGATGGCACAACATACCTGAAAACAATTGAGGTTTACGATCCTGATGCCAATACATGGAGGTAAGTAGACACTGCCACCTGTTAGTACATAATTTTGATTATTTAATTCAAATATGCACATAGACCAAGTTTATAGCAATTTACGGGAATAGTCTATCAAGAACTTGATTAAATATCACAAGAAGTGCGAAGAAGATTTTTGGAATATTCCACAACACAATCACATCAGTATCTTTTCAAGAGTTTTAGTAATTATTTTTATAGTTGAATGGTTTTAATAGTTTGTGCCAAGTAGATTGTTTCCTCTCTGATGCACTGTTCAGGGATTTTCATTTACACCAACAGTTTAAATCATAGATTTCATACACTTAACAGAAGAAAACAAGTTGGGATACACACCTGAAGAAGGCTCCACGGCCGAAACGTGTTCTCTTTCTTCTTTTCAGCATGGAATAAACCTATTACTTGTTCTTTTGCAGCCTACGCATGCTGACGCAGCTACCCACCTGAACTACTAAGTTGGGATATAAATGACTTTGCCTGTTGGTGACTTTTTTCTCTCATGTCTTTCCAGGCTTTATGGTGGAATGAATTACCGGAGACTTGGCGGAGGAGTGGGAGTTATAAAAATGACGCACTGTGAATCTCATATATGGTAATGCTTATGCTTCCCAAGACTTTTGCTATATGCAAAGCTGAAGAAAAAATGCATCAAAAGATAAGTGATCGGGTTTACAAGCAATGAGAAGACACCCTGGACTGCATGGATAATTCTATGCTGTGAAGGGTTTGATGGTGTTCTCACCTGGGAGACTGTGCAGCTCTTGCTGACTGGAGGCCTATTTCTTTTTACACTGCAGTGCCTATAATGCAAGGATACTCCACAAGGATTCTGCTCTGATTCTGAATGCATTTATTGGCACAGGACAGCAGACAGTCGTGACTCCCGTGTGCTCCATAGTTTTTGTATATGCATTCATGCGTAAACCTAAACGGTTCTGTTTCTGGATGTGGTTTAACCTGCTTAGGGTTCCCAGAGGTTTGTTTCTTTTTTCCTTTCTAAGGAGATGCAATTTAACAGAAAGAGACTGAAATTGTTCATCTGGGAGTATTTGCACATTAAACTGGAATGAAGAAACCTTTTTGCATCACTTGTAGAGCATAAATGTAAAAAAAAAAAAATCTCAAAAATGAAATTACCAAACTGATGCGTTCTTGAGGATTGGATGTTTTTCATCTGCTCACAGTCCAATAGCCTTTTAAGGGCTCAGTCCAGTTATTTTAATGTTTTTAAAATACAATAGGATTTACTTTGTGTATGTAGTCTACATTGAAACTGCTCTCAACGCTGCAAGACAACTTCATTTGCCATTATTGTTCACATACTTTTGCTTTTGAAAAGATGTTAGGTAGAGTGAATTCCTCCGTTTCAAAACTCAAGACTGGAACATAAGAACAGTTCCAAACAAGAAGGGGCCACCCGGACTGTCTCGGTCATTGTTCTATCTGAAAAGCTCATCCAGCTGTTCCTTGAGAGAACCAGAAGATCATCTTCCACAACATGGCTGGGCACCTTGTTCCATTCTCCCACCACATTTTGTGCACACATTGAAGCACCCCACCTTCTTTTGCCCTTTAAATGGTCACATGGTCCACTTCATGGGACAAACTGTATCGAGCAGCCTTGACATTCACTTGTGTGTTATTAAAGGGCCACCCCCCCTTAACTGGGCAGTCTGCTTGCACGTACAATTGTGACTTAATATATTTATGGTTCTGTATAATAATCAGTATTATTTATTAACCAACATCACACTTGGTACATTTTTGTTTTCCAAGTCCCACAACGTTAAAACTGTTTTAAACCTAGTAGTGTGTATTTTAATGCAAAATGTTGTGATGGAAGGGGATGCAGGTAAAAGCAGAAGGGACATTTGTTAGCCAGTACGGTTTAACCACACACTCAGTTTGCCAAATTGTCTCTTTGAGCCTCGTTTGGATGATTTGAAATGTCACCACTTTGAAATGCTAAAGCTATTAAAATTCTTTATACCGATTGTAAAAAATTGTTGCATCACAGGCTATTTTCAGTTTTCTACTGTAACTCAGTTGTGATGCAGTGTAAGCTCATTTATCAATTGTAAAATTATTCCTTGTAAAGAATAGGATGGGGATTTCATTTGTTATGGAAAATCTGTACCATTAACTGTGCTGGTGATCAGAATAAATCATACTCCAGCAACTTGGCGATAATTCACCAGAAATGGTCTTTTATGCTGTCAAGAAAAACACAAATAGGGACTCTTTCTACATCAATATCTTTAGCCCCTTTAATAATTGCTTGCTTCAGATCTTTACATTTCTGGATATACAGAAGGAAAAGTTTTTTTTTTCTTTAAACACATTTCATATTTGCTGCAATATTTTGCTATTCACACCACAGGCGATAAGCATAATGTGAAATACTTAAGTGTAGTTGTATGGCTAGGTCAATTTTTACATTTCCAAGATAATGGTCATAAAAGTACTGTGTGTATATATAGAAGGAATAGACAAATGGTTTGAAAGGATGGAACCCCACCCATTATTAATTTAATAATTTAAAGCAGTGAGCACTGAAAGTTATTGTTTAGGTACCTAGTTTTCACAAATAGGATTTGCAAATATAGACCCATGTTTTTTTTCTTTTACTTTGATGCAGGATTGACTGTCTCACACAGAACCTGAATTATTCATCAGTAACTCACGCCGGATGTATTTTATTGCGCTTCTGCACATATGCATGTATCACATCATGTGTGAATAGGATTTTAATCTGGTGATGAAATGTACCAGTTAATCAAGGTTCATCAAGGTTTCAGCTTGTGACAGGACTGAGATTCAATTCCCAATTCTCTAATCTCCAACCTGAAAAGTATTATATAAGCTTCAAAGATTTAGAAGAAATACAATTTTATGCATTCCATTGCTTGTAAATTCCCAATTATAATATTAGCATAAGAGTGGGCATTTACATAATTCTTGAATTAATTTTCAGTCTGCAGCTACAGGTGCCAGTTTACTACAGTTACTGAAAAACATAGTGGCTAATATTTTGTATAGGAAAACTTGCAGGCCTGAAAACTATGCAAACCTATCCTGATGAAGTATTTAAGGAATACTTTACCTTGAAGCCGTAACCCATTATTACACTGTAAAATTGTCAGCAGCGATAATTACAGGATTCATAGCCTTTTCAAGCCAGTCAATCTGTCAGGGAAATCTGTTGGGATTTGGGTTTACTGTGAGACTGTCGCAGTGATCAGTGAAGAATGGCCCGGTGTACTTTATTGTCAGAAATTCAAAGGTCAGGCTACTACCACCTTCCATCTACTTAGTAGGTGTTTGAATTGGGAGGCTACATCTATATACATAAAGGATACATTGGTATTAATTTAACAGTGTTGTAAAATCTTTAGTTACAAATACTTATGAAAAAGGTGAAGTACAGTTTAAGAAATTTGCTACATAATTGTATAGACACAAAGTTAAACAATTTTCAGTTTTACACTTTTTTATCATTGGTATTTTTCTTTTTACACCCACCCAATTTGTGAATGCGAGTTGTTAATTAACAACAAACATCTCTAACCCCTTGCAAAGAGCATGGAAGGAAGACCTATGCAGTCATCAGATACCCTATCCCAAATTCCTTTGTGGCTTGACTTGCTGTTAGTTCCACTGTTCCTATATAGAACTTAGTATTAACTGCAGGTGTGGAGCATCTTTCACTGCTGTCAGAGTGACAACGCACAGTGACTCACAAGTGTCATGTAGGTCCTAGGCATTTTGACACGTAAGAAACCCCCTACTTGTGATCAGTTAATCTTAGTCTGGGCTCAACAGGTGGTTCAAGAAAGCCTCCTCATAGATTGAGTCCGAGAACTATGACATACTATAGGAGAAGACCCTTTGTAGTCCATCAGATAAAAGCATTACTTAGTTTTATTCTTAGTCTGCTTACAAGACAAAAAGAAAAACATATAAATTGCATAACAACATGGTCTAGAAATGCAGAATGTAGTGCATGGATTTACATTTCAAACCACATTTACTGACCTTTCAGCTTAAAATGAAAAGGTATAATTTGTTATTTAAAAACATCTATATTAAAAACTTTTAAAAGTCCTTGTTTTTTGTACACTTAAACAGGCATCATTAAGAGAGCGCTCTCTGTCAGCAACATCAGGACGTCGATCATGTAGTCACTGTTCATAAACTGTAAAACAGAGGGTTAAATTATTACTGTTATTACATTTTAATATAACTTTTGTTTTCAAATACAGCTTCTTATAATGCAGATACTAATTCCATATATTAGAAAATATGAAAGTTCATTAAGAAAAGACTAATTACTGACACGTACCCTTTCAATGGCTTGGAACAGTGAAAAGGAAACACTGTCGGATTTCTCTCATTAATTGAGAACGTATGTAGAAAACAAGTGTCACGTACAGAAAATACCACTTTTCATTTTCTATAATGCTCATTTACTTATTTAAAAGAAAGATTTGCCAAAAACAAACACACACCCAGGCTTCAGGGGCAGTGTCCATCCTGGTGATCAAAAATACTGGGTCTGTTTCAAATAATAAGCAGTAATAAATTTGCTTTGAAATAATCGCTACTATTAAGCCTTCGTAATTTCTGCAAACTAAGATGAAGGTTCAAACCTTTTGCATTTGTTGTGAACTTTCAAATGTCAAAATCTACCCTTTGTTGTGGGTCCTACCTGAATTACATTAATATATACCCCCAACAAACATGTTTGCTAAAATGATCACAGGGTCTTATTTCCTACACTAAGTTTAGAATAATAAAGATAATACCTGGATTTTACCATCACGGTAAGCAGATCCCAAAGCTGTGGAAACCTTCGTTAACTCCCCGGCAGAAAGATGGATCCTGAAGTGCCGGAAGAAATGCGATTCGAGGCACTGAAAGAACTGTTTCGCTACCTCGGAACTCACTTGGTCCTTTCCTTGGCAAATTCTGCTCCACAGGTCGCTTACGTCTCCTGGATTGACAGTGTAGGAAATGTCTAAGGGTGGACAAGTGGGCAGAGTCCAGGACAGCTTCAGGTACCGGATGTTCACTGTGGGATGGCAACCGGTCCACATGGTAGCCAAGCGGTGCAGGTTACTGGGGCTGATACGCAGCTGGCCAAAGTTACAGTCAAACGTGGTCTCAAACCAGCTTTTGACCAAGGAGGTCAGGCTCCCTGCTCCGCTAGCACAGAACAAGGGCAAGCAAACAAAGTCCGCTGGAATAGCCCTCAGGTATTCCGTGTTGCCGTTAATACAAGCCAGCCAGCCACTCCAGATGACTACGTCGCTCGCACCCTCTGCCGCAAACGAAGGCTTAGAATGAATCTGAAATTGTAGAAGTGAAAGAGCAGCTGATGGGATGTGTTCAGACACAACATGAAAGTGATAAATTGTCTGTGGCTTGGAATAGTCGTGTAGATTGTAAGACACTTCATCTCTTGCTGTGACTGTTTTATTAGCTCCTGTAGGCACAATTCATAAACCATGTAACGAAGAATGATGATCACATCTTGCCCACATCCACAACTGAATGCCTTTTGTAGCAGAAACAACTCCTACAATGAACGGCTGCGTAATGCTGTTTGACACAGCTTAGTCTGAATACTTTACTGACAGAAATGTGTTGGACAATAAGGTGGAATTTCCTTTGCACTAGAATTCCCAAACCAATGCCCCTGTATGGTAATAAGGAACACGGAGCAGTAGGAGTTTGGATGCTAATCCTGATCTTATGGCTAAAGCCTACTCTGGTTTTGCACAGTTAAGCATCTGGGAATCTAAAATTCTTTCTTAATCTGATTGGTGAAGCAACTAACCAGGCGTGTCTGCCAGAACATGCATTTCATGATGGATGTGTATCACAGGTTGGTGTCATCCAATATGTAAAACACGCCAAGATCGTTTGGTTTGAGACATACTATATAAATGCAAAGAATTATTACAGTAACTACCCTCTGTAAATATAGCTGGCTTTTGCGATCAATTTTCCAAATGGACCTGCATTAATTATAAGTAATTAGAACACTGTTTTATAATTGTAGTGTTATTGTTCTTACAGCAGGTTAGCATACAGTATATAGCCCTGCACACAGGACTCTCTAACACTGCATTTTTGTGTGTTTTTTTAATACATATGAACTTTTTTCCTCGTTTCCTAAATGGTTGTGTTCCGATACACTTTACCTGAATGAAGACTAACTCTGTGTCCTCTTCCGTCTCAGTCAGGCCAAAGATTATGGAGAACACCACCTTGAAGCCAGTCTCTGGTCCCACTTCCACTGCTCTGCCCTTCTGTTTTTCTGATGCTATGAAAGCAGATAGCTGCTTGGAGTAGGTCTTCAGTTGTGTGTGTTTGAATTTGTAGAGTGGAGTGACATAAAAGAGCTTCCATTCCTTTTTCATCAGGAGAGAAATTTGTTCAGGGTCCACCTTCTCCTAAAACAAATAATGTTTTTTAGTTCTCCAGCTGAAGTAACATCTTGTTTCATCTGTTGCAAAAGGATAATGGACACAGACATCAAAAGCAACTTCTCACTTACAAGCATAACCAGAGCAAATTTACACAGATATCAGGAAATTATTTTTATAACAAGTACACTAACATTTAAAGTGAACAGACATGATACAGGTACATTTGATACCACATAACATTTTTCATTAAAAGGGCTGACGTTAAAAAGACATGTGACAACCATGGGCTAGTAGCACATATGGCCACTGTTGGAAGTCAACCAAGAGGTACATCTGCGATATATGCTTTACGTCAGGTTACGCATGCAGTTTCAGTTTGTCTCATTCCTCCTGTACAGCCTGGATGAATATCTGCCTGTTCACTAGTCTCTGTGCCTTTTGTGATTTAGTGTTTATGCATCACAGTCAGTCACGAGTAAACAATTAAGCAAAATAATGCCAAAATCATTTAATCCATATACCTTACTTTCCTAAAAACATAACATGCACAGAGATAATTGTATTTTGATGCTGAGTACAGTATGCATTAATCTTAGGCTTTAGAGGTTGTTATTCTTTCTTCACTCATATGTAGTATAGTGGATATACGACATGGCATTCATTGCACAATAAAATAGTAGAGACTCATAATCACATGTTTCTTGACAAATACTTACTCTAAAGTCACGTTTCAGAACTTGTGCATTCTTTGAGATTTTCATGGACGCCACCTTGTGGTGTGGTGTGTATCCCCGCATAGTCAGGCCAGTCCCATGACTTCGTCGAAAACGAACAGCACTTCTGCACTTTGTAACTTCGCTTAGGGCTCCTTTAGATGAAAAAGTAGGGTCTCCAGGAGTCTGGATACAACTAGAACACAAAGACAAACATTTGGTCTAATTTCCATGTAATTAATTTACACATTCTATTTGCAGAGAATTGTCTGTAAAACTTGTAACTTGACAATTTGGTCACTAAAGGCAGCTGATAGTGTTTTGAACAAAGTAAGGCCTCTTTGGGAATATAGGGAGTTCAAATAATTACTATAAAAAATGCACACACGTCACTTTAGTATTTTCAAAAACAAAGACAAAAATATTAAACAACAGTTAGAAAATGTTCATTGATGCCTCCTTAAGATAGTGCCTCCCTGATAGCAGTGTGATTATTTAAATATGTTTCTACTTTTAATTCAACACATCATATCTACTATACACTAATCATTAAGAAGCACGCACAGTAAAACTACAATTTAAAGTAGTGTAATTAACTTATATTGTAAAGAATAGCAATGCAATAGTCTGAGGAACATTGTGATATGGTTATGAGAAGTTTTAACATTTCTAAGAATACCAGTGGGATCCTTTTTATATTTTTATTACATCTCTGATTACTACAGATTGATTACCTCCTCAGTTTTATACATCATACTTTTGTTGTATTAGTTCTATATCCTAATCTTGAGAACCAGCCTTTATTGGAAACTAGAATGCCGATTTAAATGAAAGCAAATACTTTCAGTCTTTTATAATGAGCCCCACTTAAACCTAGTTTCCCCTTTGCAAAGTTTATTCCACTGCGTAACTGTCGTTCTGTATCCTGTCCTCTCTATAACACACCTTCATTTCATCTTGGACTGTCTTTGAATTGTTCTGTACTTGCATACTTGTAACACTATTCCTTTTGAATGCTTTCTGTGCCTTACAAATCTATCTAGGACAAATGTGTGTCTTGATGTTCTTTCTTAGTGCTACACACTTGACAACTGTGGAGATAGCATACGCTGGCGCACACGTACAAGCCTGCAAAAATGAGAGAATCCAATTCATCGTAATCATTTCGTGTTACAGTTAGTAAAATCTGTATGGTCCCAGAGTATCTGTATCAGTTACAACCTTAGGGAAAAGTCCCCGTTTTTGCCAATGTCGTTATAACAACTGATGTCAGAGGTACATCGCTGAATGCAGCCAACAGCCTCAAACATATTAATTAAGCAAAATGAGCTTGGTACACATAGTGCAGTTAATATTATACCGTCATGGTTCTCCAATATGTACAAAAGCATAGTACGTACCTTCCTTGTCCGTCCATAGTCCGTCCAAAAACAACAAAACACCACACTAACACGTACTTATAAAAACAAATCAAAATCTATGAACATAAAAGTCCCGAAACTAGAACCTATGTGAAATGAAAAAAAAAATCTATACGTTACAAATGTTAAATTACTAAAGGTAAAAGTTCCCTTCACTCTCCAACAGAGCTTTGTTTTCAACTGCTCGATTTGAACATCGCGCTTTCCATCATGCAACAGGATGCAGCAGACCTAGCCAGTCGAGAGCGGAAGACTTGAGCGGGGATGATTGTTCAATCAAGATTGCTAAAAATGGTGAGAAGCCTTATTGGTAGAGTTTACAAATCATTTACAGTCGATCAACTGGCTGTTGATTTTAATGATAGCAGGAAAAAAGACTGCGGCACAACATGACCACTTCTTTTGAATTTACGATAGATTGAAATATCATAGGTTATTAACATAAATGAAATCCATATAAAGTTATTTATTGTTGGTGATGCTGGTCGGATATTTTAAATTATCCTCTCAGTTTCCTCAATACTTAACTGAAAACAGTATTACAAAATCTAAAAACGCGTACACTCTGATATCAATTGTGTGCTGTTGTGTTGTATCTGTGAAAACCACACGCAAGACTCCTCCGACCCAAAGAAAGCGTGTCGCAGCATAAATATAGGTAAGGACATTTTAAGATACATTTTATATGCCTGGGATTTGAGTATAACACACCGGAACCTCCCTCATCGATGCAACCTATGCATGATGAATCAAGTCTGGATCCGGGAAAGGTAAAAGGTCATCTTGCATTGCAAGGGCACGCCTGAATCAACGTTTTGTAATGTAAGGACACTGGTATATTGCGCGTGTGGATATTGATTTAGAAATTTTAACCAGTTTTTTTGTATAACCTTTTCTATTTATTTCGTGACAAGAATAATTTCAGTCTTAAATGTAATATAATCACTGCCAGCAACATAGCTGTTAATTAATTTGTTGCGTGTGCTTCAGATATTGGGCAACAAATACACATTTTGAGTATCTTTCCCATTTCCCATACTCATTTATACAAATTAGTAAATTAATCGTTAGCATCGATTAACAAGTATATAGTTCCACATCTGTTTACCCCCGATTTATATATAACATAAAATCAAATGGAACATTAAGAAGCCGGTTTGTCTTCAACAATGTCTTACAAAGCTGGAATTTTGATACGGAGGATTCTGATGAAGGGGATTAAATGGCACCATTCTGCGAGGTTAGCACTTAATTGTCGAAAATCTCCAGGAATCGCAGTTCCTGTATCTTTCACAACTAACAGCACAGCAACTTCCTACAGGCAGTGTTCTCAGAGAAGTATGACAGGTAACTTTCAACTCAATAACTAATTCGAGACATCCTGAAGTGCAAATGTCTAGACTGTATAAAACGTCACACATTACAAAACATGATTTAATGGAATCAATACCTCGCGTGTGCTGGCTGGGACATTTGGCAGCTTTATTTATAATTAATATAGAAACGTTTTTTAATGTTAAATGCATACTTCTTCAGTACGATTTATAAGACTATTCCGTCAATGTGAGACATTGATTAGCCTCATATAAAAAAATGACACCCTAGTAACATTCTTTCTTTGGCATAAGAGCGTAAAGCATCTATTACAAAGCAACTGCTCTTTGTTAAGTAAATATCTTGCCGTAATGAGGCCATCAGCTATGCAAGAACTATCACTTATCACTAACTAATTACAGTGTGAAAGATAAGCTCAGCAGTTTAGTAATAGTTTTTGTCAGTGGCATACAAATGAGTAAGCATGCAATTATCTAGTGCAAAAGTATGTGTAGCAGGCAGCTATTGTTTTAACCTTGAACATTGTATTGTAGTCCCATATTTATAATAAAACATTGGGTTTTATTGGGATTGGGTGGAGTGTGTTTAGAAAATTAATAAGGCGACATTTAATGGTGCACGTAATGCCTGGAAAAAATCTAAATGTGCAGTTGTTTGTAGTTGTAATGCTGACCCTGCAATGAAACCTTAAACACCTTTGGCCTCAGCCTGTTTGATTTACAGGTAGTTTAACAGTTGTCATCTGTGGCTTTATTGCATTTTGACAGGTCACAACAGTTTTTCCTCCCGGTCGCACACATGCGGAGAGCTGCGAGCTTCACATGCGGGCGAACAGGTCACTCTTTGCGGATGGATCCAGTATCAGAGGTAGCTACACAGTTAACCCCGTGCTTCAATGATAAGAGTATATCTGTCTTAACCAATAAGACCAGTAATACACAAGAGTGGGGCAGTATTGGACTTGTATAATGTTATTGACGCTCTTTGTCAAGCACAAGTGTTTTTTTTTTAATGTTACAGTTGTCCAGCCAAGCACGGTAGTTTAAAACCTGTTTGGTTATGAATTCCTCACATGAATCGATTTCATACACAAACTCTTGTTCTTCTTTCTTCAGACAGGACCTTTTTGTGATCCTGCGCGATTTCCATGGCCTGACGCAGCTTTTTATCCCACAGGACGAGGTGGAGTTGCATGACGTTTTCAGTGTTTCCCTCTCGATATGATTTGCCAGTGTTAGGCTTAACAAGTGACAGATGCCGAATTTTGGTTTAAAAACGCTAACCTGGATAGGCACAGTACTTAGACCTGCCCGTGCCTAAGTGAGCTTTACCAGTAGTGCCAAGCGAGTCAGTCTCAATTTCCCCAAGGGTTCATTCCCAGCCATTACTACAGCCCTGCTGATCTTTGTTTTATTTACGTTTAACCTCAGTCAGGTGCGCAGCTGAAGGAGGTACTCTGTGACCTGCCCTTGGAGTCTGTCGTCAGAGTCACAGGTGAGGTTAGACAGCGCCCACCAGGACAGGAGAACAAGGTCAGTGCACGTACAGAGCCCTTCCTGCTTCCTGAAACAGCAGTGTACAGAATGTAAAGTCTCGCTTTTGGCAAGTTTTAATACCATTTAATATCACATCGTTTTGCGTTCTCTCAAGTTTTCCGACTGCTCTGTTCTTCAGTGTTATATAGCCTGAAGTACAGTGAAATTGAAGCATGCACGGAGTTTTGCAAATGAACTCTTCTGTGATTGCCAGGAAATGCCAACAGGGGACATAGAAGTCTGTGTCAGAAGTGTTGAAGTCCTGAATGCCTGCCGCAGACTCCCCTTTGAAATTAAAGACTTTGTGAAGGTGAGTATGGTTCTTCTCTGTGGGAGATGCTTGGAGCTTTAGGCTAGCGAATGTAATACTTTCACTCCCACTGTCCTTGGCACCTTGCATGTGAAGCAATTTAATCCACCGATTTACTTTGGCAAATACCAAATGAAATTAGTTTATACATAGCAAGCCAATGCTTGTGTCTTTCAGCTCAGTAGATGCCTATATAGTTGCCAACTTGCCTACAGTATGTGAAGAATTCACTAACTCCTTTTGAAAACTATGATTGATAATAATGTAAAGCTCAATGAACAGTATTTAATAAAACAAAAGTAGTAACTAATAGTTTCAAATGAAGCCTGCAATATTTGCATTTGCTGTAGTTTTTAGTTGTTACTATGTGAATGGAAAGACAAGTGTGTGTGTGTGTTTTCCCCCTTTTTGCTCTATTTTGTCATTTCTGTAGATATTTGGTAATCTAATTTTTGAAGTCTTTGTCAACACATAGAGAAATACTAAAGCCAGTTTATTTAGTTTGACGAAGAATTATGTAAATTTAAATTAGAGTTGCACAATTCCAGTCCTAGAGGGCTAGAAATTGATCTCATTATTTGCTTAATTGGACAAGTCAAAGCCATTCCTTGCTCTAGCAAAACTGGAGATTTAAAGAACCCTCTCAAACCTTCTGAACAAGGGTCTTTGAAGAGTTGGGCACCTCTGATATGGATATTTACTAATTGTATCAACGTCTCAAAAAACAAATTCAAATGTCATCATGCCTAAATGAAAAAACTACATTTGAAACTGCTTTTACGTGTCTTCTACTGTCGCTAATGAGTGAGACGTGTTTTAATTTTGAAAAATGTTTGCTTTTCGTTTGCAGAAGTCAGAATCACTTCGCATGCAGTATCGTTATCTTGATCTGCGTAGCGTTCAAATGCAGTACAACCTGAGACTGAGATCTCAAATGGTGATGAAAATGAGGGAATATCTCTGCAATTTGCATGGTAACTAGCCATAATAATAATAATAATTCAATATTTAATCAGTGATTGTTTTTCTGCTACCATTTCTATGTGATGTTTTGGTTTGATTCTGCTTTTATCACTGGTAATTCTTCATTTTTATTTTTTTGTGGTAGGATTTGTGGATGTGGAAACACCCACTCTGTTTAAAAGGACTCCAGGGGTAGGTAGTAACTCTTTTGCTTCACAGTTGCAAATTGAAACAATTAGGAGAGATGATTCTTAAGCTATGTGTTTTGTAAGTTTGATTGTTAAATAATGATACATTCTGCCTTAGTGCCTTGTTTTGGATTATGTTTTGTAAGAAAAAACACCATTCACATGCACGTTTTAGGTGTGTTCTTAGTATTTTTGCTTTGCTGTATATAACGTGATTTGAGCATGCAAAGCAATGTAAACAGGCTTGAGAGTTTTGACATTTATTTTTATGCAAAATAATTAAAAAGCATTGTTGTATAAGAACTGTGCCGTTGTGTTGAACAGATGTTAAACTGCAGTCATATTGTTTTTCAGGGTGCAAAGGAGTTCATAGTTCCCTCACGGGAACCTGGAAGATTTTATTCTCTTCCCCAGAGTCCACAGCAGTTTAAGCAGCTGCTTATGGTGGGTGGTATTGACAGGTAGGCCTGGACAATAGACGAATGATTTTTTACCACTATATCTTCTCATTGGTTTTGTGTGTCAAGTACTCATGTGCAAATCATTGTTAAAGGTACTTTCAAGTGGCTCGTTGTTACAGAGATGAGGGCTCCAAGCCAGACAGACAGCCTGAATTCACACAGGTAATGTACTTTTTAAAACCAGCATGAAATGCTCTTCCCCAAAATAAGTATTTTTCTGTGCCATCAAGATGTGTACCTGGTTTTACTGCAATCTATCCTGCTAAGCCTTTTGATTACAATTCAGAGACTGAACTGTAGAGTTGCATTATAAAAGCATCTACATCTTTAAATGGATTATAAGGAATGTGCATGTCATTACAGTAGCATATATAATCATTAACAATCATCACTAATGTTTCATATCTTTTTCTTCCTGTATCTGCTGTCCCTCAGTTTCTGATTAGTTTTGTTATTTCAGGTGGATATTGAAATGTCTTTTGTGGACCAGGATGGTATTCGTACACTGATTGAAGGGCTGATTCAACACTCCTGGCCAGAGGACAAGGGGCAAATTCATGTTCCTTTCCCCTGCATGACTTATGCTGAAGCCATGAAATACTATGGCACAGATAAACCAGACACTCGATTTGAGATGAAGGTAAATGAAAAATCGCTTGTTGGATTTTTTCTTCCGGATTTTGAGCTCACCTGCTGATCAATGTGGCAAATATTCTCATGTTTACAATGGTAAAGACATTATAATGGGAACATTTATCCATTGCAAGCAGAACAAAAACATCTCTCTTTGCTCTAAAACCACTTAGCTCCATGTTTTTCGCTAAGTATTCTCTTATATCTTAGCTTCTTGTAGTTTTTGTCTAGAATATTTATGGTTGTGATTATTGCAGAAGCTGAAATGAAAAGGTCAGCTTGAGAGCATTAGTTTGGATTCACTTATTTACTGTACAGGTAGCTTCTTATTGGGTGACGTAACTATTATTTGCTAAAGAACCATAATACACATTTCTGTTTTTTTTTTATTTTGTCGAACAAAAGTCATAAGGCCAATAACTGGAAACAAGCACTTTGTTTTCTACCTAAAGCTTGTCGATATCAGCGAAGCATTCAAGCATACAGCTATTGGATTCCTGCAAGATGCCCTTAATAAACCACAGGGCTGTGTTCATGCATTCTGTGTGCCAAATGGAGCAGTAAGTAACAGTGAAATATTCACCCTTTGCTTTGAAAAAATGTACAAAGAGCTAGTTCTGACTTTTGTTCATGTCTGTAGTTACTAATGTAGATATTTTAAAAGTACTCTCCTACTTTTGGACATATACCATATGTACATTGTTGTAATGTCTCAAAAACGTTGTTTTAACATTAAAACGGATTAACATAAAAAAAAAGATTAGTTTTCCAGGGGACAAACACCTGATGTGTATTTTTAATTTTCTTTTATGTCTTTGAAAACTCATTATATTTATCTTACTTAGGACAATCACAAACAAATATATATATATTTTAAAATATGTTGTAAATCAGACATTATAGTAATTATTGATGTCATTCAATCAACATCCAGACTCATTTCAAGAACAAGGATCTGGAGGTACTGAGAGAACTTGCCAAGACACAGTTCAACCAGGTTTGTGTTCATTCAAAGAAACATTGCTTCCTTCCCATCATAAAAGTACAAAGAAGAGGATGTATTTTTTGTGAAAAATCCTTTTTTCCTCCAAAAAAATGTAGAATCAAGCTCTTTATTTTGGACTTAGATGTTCATACTTAGACGTTTGTATCTCTGGGTCACTGAAAATCATTTAAACTGAAAATGATGAATAAGCCACACACAAGTTGGCTCATAAACTCTTTACAGTGACCACTGAGAAGCTGGCATTTGGAATTTATTTCCAGGAAGTGAGTGCTGTGGTGGTGAAATCGGATGGCATTTGGAAGTCCCCTCTCAGCAAGCTCCTGACTGAGTCAGAGAAGCAGCAGGTGTGTCAGATGACCCACGCCAGGGCTGGAGACCTGGTGTTGCTCAGTGCTGGACAACCTCAGGATGTGGTAAGATGCATGTCTGTCCCTTAGCCCATTTTGGGTGACTTGGCCTGAACTAACTGTTAGAGAGGCACAATACTATGAGCTTTTTCTCTCATTATTGGGGGACCATGGGTGGTTGGCATTGATGCCTTGTGCTGCTGGAGCCCTGGGTTCAATTCAAGACCTGGGGTGCTGTCTGTGTGGAGTTTGTATGTTTCCATGTTCTTCCCATGTTCAAAGGGAATACTTCTGCGTGCTGCGGTTTCCTCCCACAGTCTAAAAGCTTCCTGCTTGGTTAATTGGCTTCTGTGAAAATTGGCCCTGGAGTGTGTGTGTGTCAATCATTGTGTCTGTCTACCCTGTGATGGACTGACGTCCCATCCAGAGTGTATCCTGCCTTGTGCCCTTTGCTGGCCAGGATAGGTTCCGGTTCTCCTGCCACCCTGAATTGGAAGTTGTTAGAAAATGGATGGATGTATTAAGGACCTTGAGTAGAGCAGTGTTTTGAATTTGCCAGTCATATTCTAGCATTTACAAAAAATAAGGTGCTGTGATTTATTCAACTAAAGTTGATTTCGAGCACAGACATTTGAGTATTTTTCACTCAATTCCTCCTAAGTGAAAAACAAATTTAGATTTCACTGGTTCACTTTGACAAAATACCCTTTATAGTAGCACTAAAGAGAAACAAAAAATGTTAATAATAATAGATCTTATATCTCTTACACTGTTGCTCACTTGTTGTCAAATGCAAATGGCTGTTTAGTTCAGTGGGAAACCAGCTATCATAAAATGATATAACTACATTTCCAAATGTTGGAGGGTTGTGATGAACATGGTGATACGTGATGCGTGATGCGTGATGCGTGATGCGTGATGCGTGATGCGTGATGCGTGATGCGTGTGTTACTTGCCTTTGATACCCCAGGGAAATGGGTAGCCTTTGGAGGCCTCTCCATAGTTCCAGAGACTTCCATTGCATTTCCAAATGTTATAATAACATAAGGATTGTTTTTAGTTTTTTATTTAAAGGCAGACATTTGTTAATAAATGTGATATTCAATTGACGAATACTAATAGACATTTTTGTAAGCAAGACACATTATCCGATCTCTAAATTTGATGTTTTTTTTCCCTGTTTCATCAGGGTTTTGAATGCATCTGGCGGGCACTGTATGTGATCTTTGCAGCAGGGTGCTGCTGTTTTGTTCTGTTTCTGACAACATTGGAAAAAATGCCTTTGTCAACTTGTTCTGCGGCCAACGCATCTGCACTGCCGCAAAGTCTGTTTGTGCTAAATATCAGCTCGTTTCCCTGATGATGCTTAGTAGTAATGTTAATTTTGTGTGCTGTGAGCACTTGTCATTTCTCCACTGTACTCTTATCCCTGTAGTGCCCAGCCTTAGGAAAGCTGAGACTCCATTGTGCTGAGCTCTTGGAGGCTCGTGGGGTGGGGATACGTGACCCATCAGCCTTCCACTTCCTGTGGGTAGTGGACTTCCCTCTTTTCCTACCCAAAGAAGATGAGCCAGGTCAGCTTGAGTCTGCCCATCACCCTTTCACAGCACCTCATCCGCTGGACGCTGACCTCCTCTACTCTCAACCGCACAAGGTCAGGAGACACTTTTCCAGATCCGGCCCTGCATGTCTGTGAATCGACCGAGAACCCGAATCTCTGTTCACTCGAGTGTTATTGTGAGCTGCCCGGCTCATCTGGATAGATTGTCCTGTTTCCTCTTTCGTGGTAATTCTCAATCACGAATGGGTGAATGTGTGAGACACTTCTGGTTCTTTCATTGTTGTTCGTCTTTTTAAAAAAAATGTATTTATTGAAAGGTACGTGGCCAGCATTACGACTTAGTCCTGAACGGTTGTGAAATTGGAGGGGGATCGATCCGGATTCACAACGCCAAACTGCAGCAGTACGTCCTTGAGGAGACATTAAAGGTAAGAGGAGATGAAAAGCCAAAGTGCGCTTCAGGGGGTCTGTATTGTTCATGGATTCAAATAAAAAATATAGAGGGTTTTGTCTTCTGAACAAACGGTTTTTGCATTCCAGGAGGACAAAGGTTTGCTTTCACATCTCATTGAAGCCCTGGAGTCGGGGGCTCCTCCTCATGGTGGAATTGCACTCGGTATGTGTTTTTAATGCAGACCGTCACCTTGGCTTCTGTTGTGTTTTGTTCCTCTTTCAATTAAAACAGGAGGGTACCCATCCATCTGACACCGAAAATACACGAAAATAAAACCTCTATCAAAAAAGCTGTATAGGAGCCTTGAGTGCGGATAGCACTTTGCTGAGTTCATTTAGTTTACTTGGGGTGTCTGCTCTTTAAAAAATCTCATTGAGAAGTGACCCACACTATGGACTGTTAGAAAACAAGTGATGTGAACCAAAGTCACCTATTCTGAGCTCCAGGGTTCCCACGGTCATAGAAATCCTGTAAAGGTTATGGAAAATGACATTTCTTTTTCCAGACCTGGAAAAGTTTTGAAAAATGATAAAGTATCCATTATGTCTTGGAAAAGTCATGGATTTGTTTTCTAATTGACCTCAAATTATCATGGCTGTATCATGTAAGTTAGCAAACTTTTAAAAAGAGGCTGTGGCGTTGCCGTTGCTAACTCAGTATAGTATCACATCAGATCCTGTTGCGGGAATTTTAGAGTGAGCTAGCCTAGCGATCATGTCAAAATGCCGTGTAAATGTGTTTTCAGTGACCTCAGAGGTTAGCAGATGAAAAATACAAGGTATGGCTCCAAAAAGATGAAGACCCAGGATGTGCGAGATGTAAATTATGCAGAAAAGGCCGTTCTGGAAAAGTCATGGAAAAGGTTTGGAATTTTGTTGGTGAAACCCTGGGAACCCTGGAGCTCAAACGTTCTGAAAGTAGCCGATTGCCGATACCGATTGCGCAGCTAGTTGTTTTATATACAGCAGAGGACAATATATCCAATAGTATGTGAATTATGTATACATTTTATATTTTTTTGGGATGGAGCAATAACCAAACAAAAAAAATAAAATATACAAGAAATATTTTTTAGAGCTGTGCATAGGTTTCCATGTGTTACATTGTTTGGCTTTTGTTTTTCCAGGTCTGGACAGACTGATATCAATCATAGTAGGAGCCGCTAGCATTAGAGACGTCATTGCTTTCCCCAAATCATTCCGGGGTCATGACCTCATGAGCAATGCCCCAGACTTTGTCCCTGCTGAAGATCTAAAGCCGTATCACATCAGTACGACTTGGCCAGCAGGAGCCCAGAAGAACAAAGGCCAAGAGCCCTGAGGAGCTCAGATTTGCGGATTAAAATCCTTTCAGGATGACTTCTCATTGACTTTGTTTCCAGGGGTTTTTGTTGTTTTCATGTAGAAATAATCATAGCTTTCCTTGGAGAAGTTGCTTCGTTTTTTAAAGACCTAATTCCAGGAAGAATACTGTATGTCGTCAGTCTTTGTGCAAGGCAGGATCTGAAATCCACTCTCTCTTGCAGTTTGAATAAACACTGCTGTGCCACCAGACCTGACCTGTCTTTGAGTGGTGACCCTTATTGATGTCATGGCCTCTGATGATGACCCTCTTGAGTCCACAACTGCAGTAAAGTTTTTTAATAAATCAGAGCCTTCTGTTTTTATTCCTTTACTTTATTATTTAGGGGGCTAATCTTTACTCTCTCCTAATATCTTTGGAAAACAGATACAATGAAGTCTTGGGGAATGATTTAATTAGCAATGTTCTTTCAAATGCATCAAATCATATTGGCATATTGTTTTAAAATTTTACTTGTCTAAAAACATTTCAAATGTGAGTGACTTTAATTGATACACCGTGGAGTTCTTTCAATGGAAAGCTGGCCCTTTTGTTTGGTTTAGACTTCTCGTTAGGTATTATAACCCTTCCTTGAACTAATTACTCATGCATGTAGTACCTCTGCATAAGTTTGCATTGCAGAACCACTTACCTTATTAAGAGAATTTAAAATCTCTTGGGGGCATAAATCTGTAAAAACCCTTAATCTGGAAAGACAGAAAAATTGCTATCGTTAGACTGATTTATCAGATCTCAGTAGCAAAGCAAATGTAGGCCTGGTCAGTACCAGGGTGGGAGACCTCCAGGGAAAATCAGGTTAGCGTATACTATATGTATATTTATATATTTAGCAGTATATTGAACACTACCCTGCACATTTTGATAGAAACAGATAAAACCATGCATGCATGGTGCATGATTTTGAGCTTTATGGGGTCTGAAAGAGGTATAAAAGGTATAAGACATGTTTTGTTGCTTTTAGTGATATTTTACCGTATCTGGAGTCCTAACCAGTTTTATTTTGCCTTCCAAAAAAAAGATCGCTCACAGGAATTTGAATGTTAAAGCTAATCCACTAAACCAATTGCTGTTTCCAATAGTTTGTCCATGTTGTCTTTGTTCCTTTCAAAATGATTTATTTTGTTAAATGAAAAATGTAAGATTTTCCAAGGAGTTTCAACCACTGATTTTAAGGTAAGATGAGGTGGGGGGGGTGGGTATATTTTTTCTGTGTCTTATTCGTATAGTTATGTTTGAAACAGATTTTTTGTGAAGGTTTTTTTATTTTTCTGATGAAATTCAGAAAACAAAACTGGGGGAATTAATAATTTAGTATTTCTTCTAGGTAATCTAGCACCTCCAAGCCAAGAAAGCTGCAGTGTCAGCGAAATGTTAGACTGTCCCCTAGGTGGCAGTGTTGTTCTTAGAAATTGCTTCAATACCCCAAACCCCTGTAAAATCCGTATTGAACTGTTCTACTAACAGAAAAGCATCAGTAATCCCAGCGCCTGATTTAAGTAAAATATCACATCAGTACAGGCAGTGTGGTGACAATTGTAAACAATCTTAGAAAAAAATGTTACTTATGCTGCAATATGAGATAGGAGATTCAAAACTTTTAATGCAGACTTTTGTGTTTTTGGGGTGAAGTTGGAGTGCAGGTATATGGAAAATCTCAACATTTCTATTTCAATATGATTAACATTTTATGTTGATTAGGCCATATGTCGTGCAATTGCGTAGGTTTTCAGATCTAACATTTTTGGTAGAAATAGCTATGGTATTTTCTAATGCTCTCTTTGTGCCACTGCAAATTGCAATCATCTTCTCCAATAGCAGCTGCTAAAAGCCCACAGGACTACCTCTTGCCTGTGAGACAACTACAAGTGCTTGTGGTTTGCAGGCAGCATACTCATTAGAGCTGTAAAAAATCAGCAGCTATGTATGAATCCAGTTATCTTGTCCTGTAGAGCACAGTTCCTCAGTTTACATGCATTTTGCATCTTTGTGCTCACAAAGGACAAGCAATGTTTTTTTCTTTGCGATTGTAAGTTGTGAGAATAAGATTCAGGAAAAAAATGCTGCTTTGTCAATACAGAATGAAAATAGTTTTGCATGAGAAGGTGGTTTAGATCTGCAGAATTCCAGTTTAACAAGTATATGAATACACCCCCCATTTCAATAATTTAAGAATGTTTAATGTGACTACACCTGTACACGAAGGACTGCGGTTTTCTATGAATCAAAGTACAATGCATTTATTATGGAAGTGTGCCAGTCATTTTTAATGAAAGCCACTTCTGATGATTGGTCACTTAATTGTACTTAAATGTGATTTGATTTACAAAAGGTGCAGTTCAGTGGTATTTATAGAAGAAGCTCGTCTCTTATGGAAAAATATAAAAAATCATTTTTTTCTAATGTGTTTTCCCACAAAATGCGCTGTGTGCAAGCTGTTCAGAAAGACTGCCGCTAGCTTAATTTACCTTCTCTGCATGCCCTGCCTCTGTGTGTCCGTGGGTCTGAGACTGTCAGCTTTTCCGATGGTGGTAGAATACTCACAGTAAGGAAGCCCAGCACTTTAATGAGTTTTCAGAGTGATAAATTAAATTAACCCCTTTGACAGAAAATCTAATGGAGTCGCCAAGTTTAAAGCCTTGACACAAAAGCTCCATTGATTATTTCAAGTGCTGAAGATTTAAATATCTTGCATTTGCATGTGTAATTCATGTCGTAATTCATGCAACATTTTAAAACTGCAAGAATTCTTTCATTTACCTGTTTTATAGTGGAATCTAATGGAAGGTTGTACTAGAACAAGGACTAATTTATATACTTCTTGTGAATGTAAAGGTATAATACGTGGATTTATCTGTCCTTTTGAAAGTATAATCATTTGTATGCAAGGAATATGGAACACCTTGGCAATACTTTCTGTGTATTGTCAAAGTAAAATGTCAAGCTAGTTGGAATCTGCAAAGATTAGTAGAGCATAATTTAACATCTGCAGTAGTTTCTTCTCCCTGAACTCAAAAAGCTTTTGTTTTTAAGACTACTGCACAAAATCCCCCCAAAAGTTCCTGCATAAATTTTTTTCCCCCTCAAACTCTTTTAAAAACAGACTAGCAGTGTAAAAGAAAGGTTTGATTGTTAAACATTTGCAGGTATATTGATGATTTAGGGATGTATATTACTGTTGTCCAAGGGCAATCATGCAGAGTTAAAATATGTAAATGGACAATATTTGTTTTTAGTTTATTGTAGTTTTATAGACTGTTTTTATTTTGCTTATTTAACAGCCTTTGTGATCCAAGCACTTGTAATTCTAGTTCAACTGTGCCGTGCCGCCATTTTGTCTTTATTCAAATTGATTAATATTATTTTGTAAAAATTGTTGAATTGTAAGCTTTCAGCCTTATAAAAGTCTTGCACTATGCAATTTGTTTACAGTTCAGTGGTAATTGTGAATGCAAGCTGTTTTGGATAAAGAGGTTAGCTAAATAATGTGCTTGAATTGACATGTTGACCGGATTGCTGATGGAGTTTTTGTGGGATTTGTGTACAAGCTTTGAACAAGGTTTTCATTACTCTAGAAGTTATGACGATATTAGCTGAACAACTGATCATTATATTGCAGTTTGTAAGTCTAATTTACCTGAACAGAAAACAAACACTTGGGCACATACAGTAGAACTAATTGAATTGGGAGGTTACTGGATCATTTTTTTTTATAAAGTTGTCGATCTTAAAGATCCTCACTGAGCTGTATAATCCACTTGGGTTTATTCATCTCACCCTGACAACCTATCATGCCAAAGTCTGAAATTAACTAAGATTCATCTATACAGTGCGGTGAAGAAATTGACAAGGTCAGTTTAAAATTAAGCCAATTTAACAAATATGGAAATGGGATTTTGCTTGGTGATGATAAGAAAACCGCACAGCATGTTAAATATGCATCTAATCATATGTAATATAGAAACGTCCTGGAACAAGTGACTAAGTATGAATCAATAAAGTTTTTGTAACCCTCACATTTGTGAGTGTTTCCAATCATAAATTGTGTAGCACATTTCCTTTTCAATAAAGCAGAAATAATATTATATTTTCACTTCTAGAACTGCAAAGTTTTCTCTTAATCATTAAGGTTTTATATATTTTTATACATTTTATTATATAATACCAATCAAATAATGAATACGTTTGTACAGAGAAAAAATAACTTTTATTTCCTGCACTTTTAATACAAAATGAAGGCATTTAATAACTTGGCCTTTTGAAATCTTCGTTTCATGAAGCACTTTATTACAGGAAATTTCACATGATTCGTCTATGACAAAGTACAATGAGGAGAATATAATATACCTAACGCTGAATTTAATATGGTTTTACATACCCACTTGTCAGGTCCGTTTATTTAAAAAAATAATTAAATATTTGTTTCCTAATAATTTAGAGCTATGAGAAGTTACAGTTTTATAATAATTTTCTCCAACAAAATCCCAGTATCAAAATAATTCCCTTAATTTAGATTTTGTGATAAATTGTAGTCACTTTTTTATTGATGCCTTCCTGATATTTGCTCTAATACTTTTTTTTATCATTTTGGGTTATGAAGGTCATTTGGTAAAGAACCAGGAGAGATTGAAAAACACTGTAATGATTCAGATCACATTATTTAAAAAGAGAAGCTGCATCAGTCCATACTTTAATACAGAAGAACTTTGATTTTATTCGCACTATAGTATACTTGCCTACTAAATAATGATGGAATAAACAGTATAATTAAGAATACTTTGAGACCTTTCATCAGAAAATGCTGCTAATTTAAATTGTCATGTTACAAATGTGATATGTGTCAAATACAAATCACAGTCCATATTTTTAGTAGCTCAATGATACAGTATGTAAAGATACTCATTTCCAGTTGAGCAACCGATAAAGATAATTTTCTGTGCCACTACAGCTAAACCAATTACATCTACATTTAACAGACAGTTTAGAGAACAATAATTACTGAATAGGGTAGTAAAATAATTCAGGAAAATACACCTTAGGAGGTGGATGGATGACTGGGAATGGGCTGGGAGCATGCACTATTATCTGTCTTTCATCACACTGTCAGCCTCATCATCAACATCGAATCAAACCCACAAAATTAAAAATATATTCGCGTTTAATATTTTATGCTTCTTTAAGAGACCTCTTGGATAGGAGAATCCCCAGCAACAGAGACACCATACAGAGGAAAGTGCTCTTGCTGAACATGTGAAAACACATTTGCCCCCAAACTGTGGGCCTTGTGATGG